GATTTTGGCCTTCATTCTAAGAGCAATGGGAAGGCAAACTAGAAGACAGAGTACATTCAAACTACACAGTACAGAGAAGATTTGCAGAACAAGAGGAAAAGCAGAGAGATTAGCCAGAAAGCTAATTTGATAATCATAAACTAAGGATTATGGGAGAATGTAAAAATGTAGCTCAAAGTATTTTGTGAGTTAGCTACATGGGAGGACAATAAAGGAAGATGGGTATCTTAAGGAAGTTTGCTTCTGGCTTATTTGCTGATTATAAATACTACAGGGAATCCAAGAAAAATTAATAAAGTGACTGTTGGATTTAATGACTAGCTTGTGATTGGTTATCTTATAAAATTAATTTTCATAGTGGGCTGGAAATGGAAATGCAGGCCACGGTAGAGTGAGAAATGAATGCATGCCTATTTCCAAATGTTTCAAAACTGTTGGCTATGACAGATGGAAGGAGCTAAGGGTAGCGGCTCTAGAGGCATATCAAACTCTCATCAAAAAGCATTCCAGTATTTCACACATGTTGCAGAACAGTCTGGATATGCCAAGTATTATTCTCATATTCAAGGAATCAATATTCCAATGAAGGAAACAAGACAGCAATACATCAAAGTACATAGAAATAGATATATAATACTTTAACGTAAGACAATATTTGTAAGTTAAAATATATCAAATTTTATAGTAAATATTAGTTTTGGGGAGGTTCATTATCCTCTTTACCCAGTAATATTAAGAAATCAGATTCCCTATGCAAAAATAAGCAACAAATATAGAAGTAGTTGAAGGAGATGCACACACTCCAGATAGAAGTTGCCAGTTTCAGTCCTGGGTATTCTGTTTTCAATCCAGCTTTCACACTTAAAGGCAGGGGATGGTCCAAGTACTTCATTCGGTGCCATCCTTGTGGGTGACATGGGTGGAGTTCCCAGCTCCTTGTTTCTACCTGGTCCATCCTGGATGAAGCAGCCATTTGGGGAATCAATCATAGGATAGGAATTTAATCAATCCATCTCTCACTCTCCACTTCTCCGTCTTTTCTCTTTCCTCTCTTCCACCCTTTCCCTTATCTTCTCTCTCCTCCCTCTCTTCCACTGTTTCTCCCTCTTTCTTTCTGTCTCCCAAATAAATACAACTTTAAAAATGTTCTAAATGCTTGCAATTATGGCTGAAAATCATTGCAGTGGTGATAGTCTACAAAATAAAACAGAAACAGATATCTAAGAGAGGCACAGCCTACAGAATACTTGAACCTGTCAAAACTGTCCAGATCATCAAAATCAAGTGTGAGAAACCAATACAGCACAGAAGAAACTCTGACAAGATGTGATTACTAAATGTAAATGATGTCCTGGAATGAATTCATAAACAGAGAAAGAACATTTAGAACTCACTGAGGAAATCTGAAAAACAAGTACAGTTTCCACCAAACAATAAAGATCCAGATCATGAGTTGAGACAAGGCAACACCCTAATGAAGAAGAAAGAAAGTTGGCTATGGGGAAAGTGGGGAGGCAGAACATGGACCCTCTCTGCACTGTATTTGCAATTTGTCTGAAAATCATTCTAAGATTGAATAAAAATAGCATTGGAGTTAACCACACGTGTATCCACAACTAAAGGAAAAATGCAATATTGTAAATTTCCAAAAGAATAACAGGAGAAAAGCTGGATGACCTTGAATAAGAAAATAGCTTTTTAGGTACAAGAGCAAAGGCACGACTATAAACACATCAAATGATCAGCTGGACTTCATTCAATATAAAAACTTCTGTGAAAGATACAAGAGAATAAGAAGAAATGTCAGAGAATGGGAGAAAATATTTGTAAAAAAAAATCTGTGCAAAAGACTGCTATCCAAAATATGCAAAGATCTCTTAAAATTGGACAAAATGATTCTATTAAGAAACAGAAGAGAAAATATGGATGTCTCCACAAAGAAATTAAAGAAGGCAGGTGAGGAAATGAAAAGGTCGCCAACACAGGTTAGTGGAGAAATGCAGAGTATAAGATGCTATAATTTTGTATTAGAATGTTCAAAATCCAAAGCACTTTAAACTCAATTGTTGAAGAGGACATGAAGTCACAGTATAGCGGACGACAAAGTGAAAAGGCACAGCTAATTTGAAAGAGATTTTGGCAATTCTTACAAAACTGAACATCCTTTTACTATAGAATCTGTTAAGTTTGTTCCTTGGTATATGCTCAACGGAATTGAAAAACAACACCCACATATAAGCCTTCATTGACATGTTTTCAGCAACGTTTTCACGTTGGTAAAACTCAGAAACAATTAAAATGCTCTTTAGTTGAACAGCGAAATGAGACAAGATATGGCAAGACAAATGAACAGTACAAGCTAGCAAGGCATGAAAACATAGAGCAAACTCAATTGTGTGTTATTATTAAGGGATAAAAACCAACCTGAAAAAGCTGAATTCTTGGTCTAATTATATGACATTCTAGAAAAGATAAAACTATGAAGATATTCTTGCTTTCAGCATCCCCCACGTGAGTGGTATAGTAGAATAACTGATGAACCACACTAACATATCATTGTTATTGAAAATGCCCTATATTTCCAACAGAGTTCACTCCACGTGTTGCATCTGTATGGCATGAGCCCATCATTCAAGTGCCATAAACAATAGTTTCATTGCACTAAAAATCCTCTGTGCTCTACCTGTATACCCCTTACCACGCCTCAGCTTGATCATTCTAGTATTTCTATAGTTTTACCTATTTTGAAATGTCTCATAGTTGGAGTCATATGGTATGTAACCTTTCCCAATTGACTTCTTCAATTGAGCAATACTTATTTAAGCTTTCTTTTGGTTATTTGATATCTCCTTAGGTTTTTATTGTGAATAACATTCCATTTTATGGATGTCCCATAAGTTATTTATCTATTCACCTAGTTATGGGACATATTAATTGCTTCAAAGTTTTGGCAATGATGCGCAAACCTGTTGGAATCATAAAGAAATCTATGGCTACAGTAAAAAGACCATTATCTTCCGAGTACTATGGTGGGGTGGATGTATGAAGCACGAGACATTTTTAGCGCAGTGAAGTGACATAGACTGTATCTGTATCAACACTCATAGAATACACAATAACAACACTGAACCCAAAGTAACAAATGGATTTTGGGTGATAGCAATGTATTTGCATTGAATATAACATGTAGTACTCTGTTAGGGAGCTTAGTAAGTGAGGTAGGGGTGTGTGTGTGTGTGTGTGTGTGTGTGTGTAAGGAGGTCAGGAGTTGACAGAAACACTATACTTGCCACTTCATTTTGCTCTGAAAGCTATTCTGAAAGTCTACTTTTACAAATTAGACTGTCAATAAATATAATGAATGAATCAGTTTTAAAAAATTAGTTTGGAAGAATCTTTTGGAGAATATCAGGTAATAGGCGTTGACCTAAACAAGGTCAGACACTCACACTGAAATAGGTCATGAGTCTCCAGGCTCAGATCACTGGGCTACAAGACACTCAATAGGGACTCGGCTGCCTATACTTCTTTCCCTAGAATTTATCATAGAACATACAGCTTGACACAGTCACTGATTAAAAAGTAAGCAAATGAATAAAATGCCTCCAGTTTTAAGGAATGTTTTGCTGAGTACAATGATATTAATTTTTGTTTTCATATAATGCATCAATAATATTTTTGTCCCCTTGCTGTTTGTAATGTATTTGCATGAAAATGTTTCATACTGTTCTGTATATTCCTGCACACTTAAACACACACACACACACACACACACACACACACACACACACACACACACAACTCAAATCTCCTGGAAAACAGTAAGAGCCTTATTAATATTTTTTAATTGCCAACACTTAACATGGGCTTGTGTATTTTTCCATGGGCCATTTAAAATTTTGTACCAACAGTTATGTAAATAACATAAAATTGTTAAATATTAAGCTAATGAGAGCTATATTGGCACCTTAATTCAGTGTCCAAAAATATCTGGTAAGACTTCTGTTTTCTATCGACACATTCTACATTGCTGGAGTGAAATTCTTAGGGGTGTTTAGTAGGGTACTTGTGACATCAGGGATGTTGTTTAACATTTTGTACTCAGAAGCTAGTTGATTTCCCTGTGGAAATTTTTTTATACCAGCAGCAGGTTATGTAGGAAAGTCCTGGGCCAGTGGGAATCATAAGAAATTGGTACTTTTTAGGTCCCTGAACTTAGAAAATCATATGACCATTAATCACATCACGATAATGGTGTAAGCAGCTAGTCTTTAAAATTTAAAGCAGCTGAGAAAATCGTTAGGAACTTCATGGCTCCAACACTCCTTATTTAAGATAATCAAATGGATCTTTACTTCGCAGGTCTGTCTTCCTGTCACGCATAACTCTGACCACAAGATGGCGGGCTTTATGCTGTTTTCTTCATTCTCTAGCAAAAGGAACATTAACACTCTGTCTTGTGGATTTCCAAAATTGAAAACTCCCTATACCTTAAATGCAAAATGGACTTCACATTCAGACTTTTAACAGTGCCTCGAATGCTTTGGATTTTCTTTTTCACCATAATGACTTTCTTCTTTTGTGTAGGAGTACAGATTTAGACTGGATTTTATACAAATGCCAAGCTCCTGGGAGGAGATCAAAGAGACAAGCATTTTCATTGGCTTTTCTTTACATAATCAAGGACAGTGCTTCTGAAATTTATTAGCGATTAAAAACTTTAGCAAGGTATCTACAGGATAAAATTCTCAAAATCCACAGTCATTATGATATTTTTAGCTATCGACATTGAAGATGCCCAAGGACCTCAACCAACTTGTTAAAAAAATCTGCTGGGTTCTAAGATTTGACTTGAAGTAGAAGCAGCAAGCTCTACTCCATCTATTGCATAAACCCAAGTGGTTATTACAAAGAACAAGATTTGCATTTTGAACCTTGAGGTAATGTTCCTAAACTCTAAGGACATTCTTGAGATCTGTTTTAGGAGTTGGCGTGCTTACCCTGGTCAGCAGCTCATTCATTTCCATCACCAGTGTGTTCAGATCCCCCTCTGCCAAGGTGGCAAGCCTCTCCGGGGCGCGCTGTGGCGAGAGTAAGTGCTGCAAAAGACAGTATCCCATACGTGTTTCAGTAAATGCATTGTGACACTCAGAGCTGCACAGAAAAATTTCCCCAATTTACCAAATAACTAAACCTTCTCAGATCACAGGAGAGCAGAACCTATTTCAATTGGGAATTGGATGCTGATTGTGCAGGCAAACAATAAATACTGTCGTGATCTATTGGGAAATGTTGATGTACTCAGGCTTTTGTTTGTATTGATTTACTTTTCATTTAAATCTTAAGAAACCCTGTGATATCAGCGCTGACACATTTGTGGAGGAATAAACTGACCTGCAGAGGATTAAAATACCTTAAATCTTATATAAACCAGTAAGGGTTGAGTTGTTATGGAGTCTTAGATTCCTTGGAGCCTCCCCTCCACACAACAGACAGAATTTACAGACAAGAAAGGAACAGCCACGCTCTACATAGGGAGCGTAAGGCAGGGCCCTAAGCCTTGGGGCTGGCTTCAGTCTGTCACAGCTGGCCATGTTTGCTTGCTGTTGAGCATGGAGACAACCTCACAGGACACTAACTGCAGATAGAGTCACCACTGCGAGTGACAGAAACAAAATGCGACTACCCAGCATTCTCATGTGAGCCAGACAAAATTCCACATTTCCTGGTCAATAAGGGTATCCACTGCCTCTCTAAACCTAGTCTATTGCTCCCTATTAGATGATATTAGAATTCTCAGAGACTTCATTCCTTATAGCATCCAATCTAGCACAATCCCCTGCTTCCTCAATCTTCCCTACAAATTGACTAGTATAAGCCCTAATGCTATATTATTCCTAACACCTCCACTGACTAGTCCCCTAACTCCTACTGTGCACAATAAATGATACTGCAACAAGTTAATAAATGCATCTCTGTTCTTTTACACGTGTATTTGTGCTGGTTTTGACTGGAACTTGAGGGCACTCACAGGTAAAAGAACTGACCAAGGAGGTTAATGAGATTCCTTAAAGTTTTAAAATATCATCATGGGAACTGAAGTGTCCAAATATCGCATGAATTATGGCAGAAGAACATAAACACAGAAACAAACATGGAAAATAATGTCACTGTGATCAAAACCCAAGGAGGTGGGTGACTGAATCCTTGGCCTAGATTATGGACATAAATTAGAATCTCTTTCTTATTCAGGATTTTCTCCTTCAGAGGAACTGGAACTGCAATGTCTGGTTTTTAAATTTAGTACCCATGTTTCTTCTCCAAGTACAAAAAACAAAACAAACAAAAAACCTGCTCAGCATCCTCTTTCTGAAATTTCCCTGAATATCAGATGACAAGGTCAGCTCAGACACCTCTGCTAGGCTTTCAAGGATGTCCTTCTGTGCCGGCCTGCCCCGTGTAAGTCTCCAGGCTTATCTCTCCCTAGCAGACCTGTTGTCTAACATCTGTGAGGCAAACAGGCACACCTCTGCCTCTGTGCCTGCCTAAGGGCCATCCAGATGCACATCTAAGCACTAATGTGGGCAAAAGAGACCCCACCTCTGTCTGTCTGGGACTGCCACACAAGACACAGGTGAGCTATGCAAAGAACTTGTATTCTCACATGCCCCAAAGTTTCATTATCTCTATTCCAATGATGCTCTACATGCAGTAGCCTTGTGACTGGAGCCTGACAGTTTCTCTTTGCCTCAGTTTCCCATCCTGGACCACACAGATAATGCAGTATTTCTGTTTTAGTTCAGGCTACTCTAACAAAATATTACAGTCTGAAGAGCTTATTGGCACATTTCTTCATGGTTCTCAAAAATGAGAAATCCAAGATCAAGATCAAAATGCCCACCAATTTGGTTTCTGGTAAGAACATGCAGATGTCTGCCTTTTTCCCTGTCTCCAAGCATGGGGAGAGGATATCACTGGGGCCCTACCTGCATGTCTGAGTAACAGTAAATAACTCCCAAAGGCTATTACAGAGTGCCATCACAAAGGGGCATGAGATTTGCCACAGGTAGGGAATGGTTGCACCTCCCTCATATTCACAATGAAATGCTGGGTGATGGTATTAGAAAGCAGGGGCTCTGGGAAGTATTTGGATCTTGAAGATGAAGCTATCTTGGTTGGGATTGCTGCTCTAATGAAGGCAGCCCCTAGGACCCTATCCTCCGCTACCCTCTGGGTACGCAACAGAAGCACCAACTGCACAAACAAGCCTTCTAAGCCATCTCCTTGATGGTATTTTATTCCAGCAGTCTGAAAAGACTCAGGAAGTCAGTACTTTATCATCTAATTTATGGAGGATAAGTTGAGGATAGTTCTTTTCTTTCTTCTTTGATGAAAATCCATGTAAGACTTGCGTTAATTGCTGACTTTACCTTAATGTTTCTCTTGTTATTATCAGTATTGGTCTCTTTTGGAAAATAGATGTGATAACACTGTAAAGGCTCTGGTGAAACAAAGACTACTTCTCCTAGAAGAACTTCTGCTAATAACAAGGAATAAATCTTAACTTGCTTCCTTTAGGCCTCACTCAACCCACTGACGTTGGAAATTTTGCCTACTCTTCAAGTTATAACCCAAATCGCATTCTCATTGATGATGCCCTCCCCAGCTCCTGTGAATCTTACTGAGTTCTGTAATCTTTGTACCTCACTGTACTTCCACTCTTTATACAGCACATCATTATGCATTTTAGGTAATTATATAATAATTTAACAATTTTTCAAAAAAATTCTATAGGCTTTACGCTTCCGGAGAGAATTGTGGTGTTACCCGAGTCATGAGATGGCCACACATATTTCTCTCTTTGGAAAATACAGTGTAATTTCTGAATAAATGTCTGATAATCCATTGATAGTCACCTGCCAATTTTTCATAAGATGAGGCAACCCTGACTTCCTAACACTAGCATTTCTTCCCATCCAGTTAGTGTTCCAAAGATTTACAAATGTTTTAAAATAATGTTTGTCAAATTAGTGCTGGCTGAAGTATCTTTAAAGGTTTAGCATTTCTTTAGTACAAAATTTGAATCTTATTTTTTCAGTTTGAGGACAGCTGTAAACATTAATATGTTTCTATCACTTATGATTAGGTGAAATGAAAAGTACTTGAGAGACCAACCTGACTGCCCATCTCTGCCTACATTTGCATAAATTTTTGACCATATGGCAAACTAAGCTCCTAACTCACCTATATTTGCTAAGTGATGCCAAAGGTCATTTCAAAACCCCCATGTAGTTCAAATGTGGAGAGAAAAGTTACCACATATCACCCGATCATTAAAGAACTCCTGTGCAAGTAGTCAATATCATATTTGTGTTGTAAGCAGCAATTTACTTTCAGCCAAAATCATATTACTTCAGATTAATGTTTTTAATTTGAATTTTATTGGTTTTTTAGGCTTGTGTGAGGATTAATTTGTTTCGATTTTATGGCGCTATAAGTATAAGGAGCTCATACCTGATTTTATGTTTGTACATGTTTAAGTAACGTAATAAAACTGATTTAGCCCAAACACTGGGGGGTACATGAGACATTTTTCCTTTAATGGAAATCTGTATATTAAAGTTTCAAGTTTGAAATACACTAGAAAGTCTGTAAACATTTATAACAGCTGCTTCTCTTCATTTGGGGCAACATAAGGACTATTAGCAAAGATGTCCACTGCCCTTGGGTAGTTCTGTCATCGTGCGCCCAGCTATCATTGTTACCCACAGCAACCTACCTTTAGTTCCTGAGTTGTATTTTCAATACTGTACAGCATTTTATATGGGGCAGGCAGTGGGCCGGTGAGGTTGACGGTCATGACTGCCTGCTCCAGGCGAGCCAAGTCCCCAAGAAGGAGGCCCGTGCATTCGTCACCACAAACTGGGAAAGGAAAATGACAATGAAGAGTTATTTCCACTAAACATCCAAGGGAAATGTTTGGAAATTTCAGCCTTGAAGTGTTTCTTTCCTCTCCAGCCCCCCAGCCTAGAAGTTCTTTATGAACCATGATGGTTTCTGTGAAACACAGTGTTACTCTAGCAGATAACTAATGCTGCCAAATCAATGGCAGCTGAGAAAAGACGAGGGGAACAGGAGAATAGATATGCCAATCAGCTTGAATCTGAAATATGGAGCATGTTGTAAATAGAAGAGCTAAAAAGGAAAAGAAAATATGAAGAAAAAGGTATTTCTCAGAAGAATTAAAGGTGAGGTCAGACTTAGGACATAATACTGCAAAGCACCCCCAAACAAATCCATCCCTATCCTGGAGAAAACCTGTACATTTGGAGCAAAACACATTCCAGAGTGTAATGATGCATAAGAATGTGCGGGTCACCAAGGGGCTGCACTGTGGAGTGCAGCCACATGGCCTTTCCATGCTTAATGTATTACACAATCAAAATTGCACCAATTATTAGCCTGCTACCTATTGAGAAGAATGCTGTAAGCGAAAAGAAGAGCCTTCTCCTAATTAGTGATTTGTTTCTCTTGCTATGTACTTATTTATTTGCCAACTCTTCTCAGCAGCTCTTTAGCACGTTGTCTTCGGCGATTAGATGCAGTGCCACAAATCCCTACTTTGATGTTGAACCTTACCCAGGCTTGAAGACAAGTAATTGCAAAGGACGATGAAAAAGTGTTCTCGAAGTATCCAAAAGTGCTAACATCATTCCTATAATCCTTCAATGATCTGAAAAGACCTATTCAAGTCTTATGATGGTGGACTGGCGCTGGTACAAGAAAAGTCTTCAATTTCACATGAATCTCATAATTGGACTTTTGGGGAGAATTAAAAATACATACACATTTCACCTTGAACATTTACAGTTTTAAGTTGCATAATAATGTTTCCTCATGCCAAGCAGCACATGCTGTCATATTTTTGAAATGTATCATGTATACAGTTATAATCAGTTTTATATTCAGCAGGCAGAGGCAAAAGAAGTGCAAACACTAGAAAAAAGAAAAAATAGGCAACATGGACAATACTGTGTTTAGAGCAGTACTGGATCATGCCCCAAATTGGCAAGAATTCAATTAGTTCTCCAAGAAGCACTCCCCTGAGCTGCTCAGTGGAGAGAGAGCCATTAACTAGAGCTTGTAAACAAAGAGTGTAGTACAGAGAGTGAATTCTTGATAGGACAGCAGGTATAGGTGAGTTACAACATCCTTGCACAGGGATTAAAGTGGTCCAGCAGGGCTTTAATGAATTACATCTTGCAGGTTGCACCTGTAACTCTGGAGCATTAGCTCCAGGGCCTTGCAAGCTCCTGATGCTTCTCTGGCTCATTGAAATGAAGCAATGGAGGTAGGAGTGGACATTCCTAGTGAGAGCTACATTTCTCATACTTCTGTCATCCAAAAATAGAAGAGATTTGCATTTCACAGAAAGTTGCTAACAAGACAGCAATATGGCTTCATATGCTTATTCAGAGCAAGCCTCTCTACATTAAAAGTGAGTAAAAGAATGTAGAAACAAGAAAGCACTAAATTGACCAAACTACTACACCACAGAACCACGAGGACACACACAGTTGCCATTTCAAACTGCTGAATTTTGGAATGGCAACAGATAACACACTTCCCCAAGTGTCACATGCATGATATCCAGGATGAAACCAGATGAGATTTTCAAGGTGCAATTCACAGGATAAAAAAGAATTAGTAACAGTTATTGATTTTACTCCAAATTACAAAACGCTGAAGGATTCTTTCCTATAAACAAGTTACATTTGATTTAAAGTGAACATGTGTCTTTGATCTGTCTTCCTAGGACACAAACAAGGAAATTCTCTCTCCTTTTTTCACTTCTCAGATTCTCAAAGATTTTTTGATAATATAATGCCTTATTAGGTTTTCTTCAGGGCAGGCTGTTTTTCAATAATCTGTTGCTAGCCCTTCCTCTAATTTATTTATAATGCATAATCTATTTCCAAGAAGGAGTAAATCCGTTTGTTGATAATCATGTGGTTAGAGTCTCTTTACTGGATGGTTCCAGAAACTTGCATGGGAAGCACTGACAGTTTTCTCAGTTTTTACTTCATGTGACAATAAACCAGGAATAGAATGCAAAAGTAGATCTGATTTAGTATAATATACCACACAGCAAATTGCTGAGCTAGAATGCCAAGAGGCATGATGAATGCTGATTTTTCTCTCATTTATTCTACCCCCTGCCCATCTGTTTTGGTTCCTCATCATCAGGGTTGAAATGAAAATGTACTTAATTGCTCCTTCAAGGACTCATACACTCTTTACATCTCTGTGGTCGAAGTTCTATTATTAACTTATGTCATACCTTATCTGAATTTGGTTTTTGGAAAATAAGAACAAGTACATTTCCATAAGTGAAAGGTAAGCTTTTTATTGTGTTCCAAATAATCCACTATCATCTAACTGAGTCGGTCAGAAATACTTATAAAATTTATAGCCATGGAGTTTTTTCAAAGCCTTCGTACATCTCTAACTCATGCAAGTAAGACAAACACATGTGGAAATGTGCCCTTTCCATAATGGCTTGCTGTTTTACTTTGACACAAAATATTTTACTTATATCACAAGCTACTTTCATTTGCCCTCAAAGGGTCTGAAGTGTCTGGCAACGAACATTGGAAATGGGATGCAAATTAAAAACAAATTTAATTCACCATGATAGGAAAGATCTGACAAGTGTACAGAGACGTGGAATATTCACATTATGTAAACAACTGTTCTTTGGTAAGGGTGCAGTGAACGCTCAGTGTAAATTAACGTCTCGCTATAATCAGGAGCCCAAAGAACTTCTGCAAACCATTCTCCTCATTCAGCAGTACAGAAAAGGCCATAAAATGAATTCCTGCCTGAAATTCATGGGAGCAAAAGCAAATATTTCACGACTATGATTCTATTTTACATGACTAAATGTTTCCAAGCCTTTGCCAATAAAAATGTCAGGACAAATTTGTGTCTAATATTAACAAAGGCATTACTAAATTCAAATCATTATAGCTGGGCATAAGTAAGAGGCATATCATACAGCTAATGTTACAGATCTTTTTGCTAGCAATTAGCACAAAATATTGCATTTCCACCAGAATTCCCCAAGCATTGTAACCACTGGCTCACTATCACACAAAATTCACACAAAGCATGCAAGCATAAGAAGCTGAAGTTGGAATGAGTATATTCTATATTCTAGGAAAGGCCAAGGTTCATAGCCATTTTCAGTAAAGATAAAAGCATTATATGCCCTAGTGAAATAAAAAAGATAAAACTTACAAACTCTTACCCATGTTTTATGTTCTCTACATGAACATTTCTAGTAGGTCCCTAGATTAGGATTTTTAGATTTCTTTCTCTTGAGTCCCACTGAAAGTAACTTTTAGAATATCAAATTTTTATACATAAGTAAAAGGGATTTAGTTATTTGGTGTTATCTGTTAATAAATATCTTTAAACTTGATTTCATAACGTTTTTAATCTGTTATGTCCATGTATAGAGGGAGTAGTATTCTGGAGGCTTCCATTGAGGATGATGAATTTGTCCATGTACCATGTTGCTCTGTATATGTAATTGAATACATCCTATAAATGATGAATATGGAAAGTTCACTATGGTTCACAGATGTTGCAGCTCTTCACAAATCAACAGGGAACTCTGTCAGTACTAGAACCAGTAGGAGTGAATATCCTCACCTACATAACAATTGACAGGCAGTGTGATGCTTTGCTATCATTATCTGATCCAATTTCTACAATAATTCTTTGAGGAAAGGCCTATTGATATCTTTATTCACACATGAAAGAAATAGTTATGATCAGGGTATATATGCATCCATAAGTAATGCCTATAAAGAATTTTAAAAAAAGAAACATAAGTTTCTCGTGAAAGTTGTTTCTGGTGACTCGGAGAGCCTGGAATGGGAAGAGAGCACAGTAAACGCCATTCAACCCACCGCAAAGACAACACTGCACTAGAAGCTGAGGGGCTGCACAGAGCATCACGCCTGTAGGGAAAACGGGAGTCTCCAACAATAACTCCGGCAATAATTTCAGAATTCACCGAACACGTATTATGCTTAAATATTTTACATACATGCCCATCCTATTTTATTTCTGTGTTGCAGATTAAAATGTTTAGAAATGTTATATAATGTCACACAGGTTCTATAAAAGTTTTTCAAAAGTGCATGGGAAATGTGTACTATGACTACCTTATACATAAGTTTTATCATTTTTTTTTCAAATAGCCTTAGTATTTAACTCCACTTTTTCCCAAACTTTTTGAAGTACCCTCATGTGGGGGCATGCAAGGACTCAAACCTTCCACTTGCTCCAGAGCAGCAGGCTTGCTTGCATCTGCATACTGTTTCAGGAATGCCACAGAGAAAGGAAAGCTTAGCCTACCTCATAGACTTCCAAGTGTAAGATCAAATAATTTCACCATTCATCAAGATCAATCAACCTTTTAGGCTAAGCCTGAGTGGAAATCGTAACCAAAGTGAAGTTTACTCCTACAATAAAGCCATTCTGAAAATGAGAAACACATTGATCAACTTTCTGTGAATGAGCTTTCAGCTCTACAACTCCTTTAGCTGCTAACAGAACAGCTCGTGCAATGCGATGTGCACACAGGAGACTGATGCTTAATCATTTTGAAAAATAGGCAGAACAAAAGTGACAGTTGCAGCTACCTATGTTTTTAGGCTACACCAATGCTAAGCAGATTGACAAGAAGAAATTTAGTTCCTTTTATTAACAACGTAGATGCGTAGGAAGATGTAAGGAAGATGACAGTGAGCAGCTTTAACACACTTCCCACCACCTGGATTTGAGAGGCATGACATGCCTTAGAACTCTGGAAAAACTGAGTAGATATATTGACTGAAAAACGGAAGATTAAGTCTGGGGTAGAGAAAGCAATGAGATTTAGGTAGCTGGGACAAAGGGTCCTCATGATAGATTGATCAAAAGTTTCTGAAGGTCCACTGATGATTCTGTCTTAACTACGGTGATGACCATTTTCTACTATTTAGTTCCTGCACCTGTAAATAGGGATCACCATTTGTGACCATCTTTGATTATAAGTGACCAAGTATTCTAATGATAACAAAACCCTCTGCACATCAGATACAGATCTTTGGTGGAATCTGTTTCCTATTATCAATAACTATAATTGTGTCTTTGCAGTTCTTATATTAAAGACACTTCATGATCACATTTGAAGACAGGTAAACAAACCAAATTAAAAAATATGGCTACTTGTATTAAAACCAGTATATGGGACATACCTCACAAGTGATGATTAAAGTAAAACATCAACTTGATATCTATAAAACACTATCTCAGACATACAACATGGAGTTTTTGTTTTGCCAGCGGTTACTAATTATAATCTATTCTGCAGAGAGATAATACATCTTGTGATGCCATTTATAATGTATATTAAATGACATGAGTTATTCATTGTCAACTATGAGTGTGGGGAAAAATAGGATAAAGGGGGGCAGTGTTGTGGTGCATCAGGAAAACCTATCTCTGTGCCTTCAGCATCCCAGGTGAGCACTGATTCCAGCACGGGCTGTTCTACTTCCTACCCAGCTACAGAAAATGGCCCAGGTACCTTGGTCATGCCACCCTTGTGGAAAACCCAGATGGAGATTCTGACTCTTGGCTTCAGCCTGATCCAGTCCTGGCAATTTTGGACAGTTAAGGAGTGAACCAGTAAATGTAACATCCAACCATCTCTGTCTGTCTGTCTGTATCTCTCTCTCCCTCTCTCATCTGCCATTCAAATAAAGAAGTATGTAAATAAATCTTAAAAATGAGATGTAAACTAATTCAAGTTTTGTGTTTCTCAACACAACATTTCAATATTATAAAATGACAGGTTCTTGATGAATGAGAGTTGAAAGAGGCAAACAGAAGTATAGTCTTACTAAATGAATATTCTGATTCAGAAAAAGCCAATAAAACATCTATTCAGAAGTTATCTACAAACATATGGGAATGACACATTCTAGAACTCTCCCAAACTGTTACTATCAAATATATATTAAAACCTGTGAAATTTATGTGAGCACCTGACGAACATGTCATTTCTTCTGCAGAGAGGGCACTTAATAATGATCATCTCTGAAAAACGGGACTCTTTCATAAACACCACAATCATTTAAAAATTAGGGAGAGAATCTCAATGATTAGCAAGAAAGAAATATGTCCTCATTGATCTTAAATAGATTTTTAAATCTTTTATGTTTTAAGTTCACTTTATTTTCAGTCTTCATGGAGATAATGTGGGCCCAAGCAAAGAAGAAACAAATAAAGGACTGACTTCTTCAGCATTGAAGGCACTGAGTGAAACGTGCTGACTTAATTTTAGAGTGATAGCCAAAAGAGATTAACAAAGTTAGATTTAGGTCTGGCATGGTAGCATCATGACTAAAGTTCTTGCTTTGCACATGCCTGGATCCGCATTAGCCTCACTTCCCATCCAGCTCCCTGCTTGTGGCCTGGGAAAGCAGTCAAGGACAACCAAAGCCTTGGGACGCTACACCTGCTTGGGAGACTAGGAAGAGGATCCTGGCTCCTGGCTTTGAACTGATTCAGCTCTGGCCATTGTGGACACTTGGGGAGTGAATCAGCGACGGAAGATCTTCCTCTCTGTCTCTCCTCCTCTCTGTATATCTGACCTTTCAAAAAATAAATAAATCTTTTTATAAAAGAAAGATTCAAAAGGCTGACTGAGGTTATGAATCATAGCTCTGTCAAGATTCAGTCTGAACTTTGAAAAGCCACTTAAAGTGCGTAAATCTATTTTATCTTTTTTCCCCCAGTCATCCTATGGTGATAATAATTTATACAGATGTTTCAAGAATTAAAAGAAGAACCACCTACATATTAAATGCTCAACATAGGGCCTTGCAAACGGCAAGCTTCAGCCAAGCTTTCAGAAATACCTAGACTCTGTGAGATTTACTGCTTAGTTATGCCCGGGCACCTGACTCTACTTGCTCAAGTTGATAACCTTGGCACCAGTGATTTTCACTCAGGCTCTTACATGGCCATGGGGAAGTTCTTAAACAATTTCTGTACTTATTCCCTGTTGCTCAATCTCTTCAGCTGAATTTTATAACTTTTGTTAAACAAGAGCTAATTTAAGCTAAATTTATACTATGTATATACTTGGGAGATGCCTCTCCCCCACCCCTCACCCAGTATGCACTTGAACTTGGATAATATGATGACTACTATTAGGTCATTTATGCTATGGGCCAAACTTAAATTGTTTCCTAGTGCATTAACAAAAGAGAACAAAATTAATCATTGTGCCTCACATTCTAGTGGATTCGCTGTTAACCGATGTCTCTTTAATGAGACAGCACTACATCTCTCTGACTATATCCCTCACTACATGTGGAGCTTTTATGCAAACCAGGCTACCTCCTCCAAGGCCCAAGCTAAAGTCTTACAAATTTCACTGCACTACACATAAGAATTTTGGCCTTGTAGATCAAACACATCTAAGAATTCATTCTTTGATCCCTTGGTCTCATTGACCTTGAGAGCATGGTAGTATCCTATAAAGGGAATTGAGAATAAGTCGGAACTATGTTCTTGCTCGCCCCTTGATCTTGTCTGCCAATTTGAAATGAGGCATCACATCCCAGCCATGGGCAAGGCCACTCTGAGTTCTGGCCAAGGTCACTCTAATAGAAACACAGGCATAGTTTTTCAAGTGGAGAGATGTTAGAAGATGAGAAAAGTAGACATGTCTCAGCAAGCTCTTTGCAACAATACTTAGGGTTCACTTGAACAGAGAAGAGAAAATATTTCAGGAATGAAATGGAAACCCATTCCACATAAGGGGAGTACAAGGAAAAACAGTACAGTATAGCAAAAAAAAAAAATTAGAAAAGGGGTCTAGAGGTAAAAACAATGCCATAATTGAACATTTTTATTGTAGAAGAAACATCTCTGTTCCTGAGTCCTTTGGAAGAACATTAGCGTATCTAGAACATGACAACTGAACTGAATATCATGTGCAATGGTTGCAATCGCACAGTCATGTTCTATCTGAAAAACAATATTTTGGTCGGCTGTGGATGGCATGTGCAGCTGTGGTCCCATAATAACGGGTTCCTGGCAGCACAGCTGCCCTCTTAGTTTGTGTAGGTGCACTCCAGGATGTCCACACAAGCCACAAAATCTCCTAACAATACATTTTTATGAATGTTTCTCTATTGTTAAGCAATGTATGATCACAGATTTCTCAATGGAAGAAAATGACACAAATAAGCATTATAACACTGGAGTAACAGGGACTCGAACACCTGTTAGTATTACACGGGGCGTGTGCAGGTGACAGACCGGTATGACAGAGGCAAAGTCTTCTTGTGATAAAGCTATTTAAAACGTATATAAAGCTTTGCCTACTAGCAAATGAAAAATTTAAAGTCCTACTGAGAACATTTTCAGGAAATGATTCCATGATTCGTCCATCCTAGATGTTAATGCATCATTTACTCATTTCTTTAGTATACCTTGAATATTACTTTTCTATTTTAAAGTTTATTTCTGAATAATTAATCAAGTTGACAATATGTTCAGAGTAGTATTCATGTTAAAATTAACTATACATGATTTAAATGTTAAAATACATCTGCATTAATAATTTAACTTGAAAGCAATATTATGAAATACTTTGTTGGTCTACTTTTTAATTACCATTAAACCACTCCATTTATTTGGTAAAAATGATAATCCCTATACCAAAAACTGAATTTTATAAATGTATGACATTTATTTCTAATATATTTTTACTAAGTATGATTGAAAAAACAAACGAAAAATTGCGTAAGTCTCTTCTTCCTAAACATACCCAGTCTTAACTGTTTGGCATCTTTTTAAGTTCAGACTTAACATTTGAGGTTAACTCTTATGAAATGAGAACACACACATTCTTCTAATTAAAATGCTATTAAGATTCAGACACACGGAAGATGTTAAAACATGAAATATTTGGCATGCATAAATACATAATAATAGGTGAATGTTGAAATAAAAGGGGCTGAAGTAAATTTCTATTAGCAAAAGAATATTAAAGTACAATTTTCCCTCCTCAACTAAACCCATTTAGATTAGAACTGATATAAAATCCAAAAGTCATATTTCACTACCGATTTCAATGTGCATTACTGATCAAAAACTAGAAAGTTAGCATGTCATACAGATATAGAAGCAGCTCTCCGTTTACGGGGCATGAGAGCAGAACTACTTGGGTTTACTGTTACTACTTCTAGGATCTGCAGTTGAAGAGAAAGTGATGAAGTGTTATGGCCGTGGACTTTCATGAAAGATAGAAAAGAGAAAAGCCAGTGTTAATTCAAGGCTTAAAGTGTGAGTCCAGCTGATTACAGATTCGGGAGGATTCTAGAAAACTTAATATAAGTGGATATTTAATCCATCACAAAGGCAATACCAACTTTAGCAAAAATGCAACCCTGGCATAGACAAAAATAATGAAATGAAATGAAATGAAATGAAAAATAAAAAATGAAATGAAATTAAAATAAAATAAAATAAAATAAAACAAAATAACCCTGCAGGAGCTTTGTGGAAGGCCTTTAATGCACTGGCTAGCACAGGCTGAGGATTTTCTCAGCTGCTTTGGCTCAGCAGGATGGAGATAAGAACAGCAGGCAAATAGCAGAAGGTGGATGGATAGTGTCAGAAAGAGTGAGAAGTAGCACTAGCTATTGTAAAAAGAAAGTCTTTGTTATTGCAGATGAGACAGAAAGGGAAGCAAGGCCCCCAAAGTACCAGCTAAGTTAGTATACGTACAAACACACTCTGTGCCCTCGCGTGCATGCCAGTGCTCGCAGCCGTCACACTTCCTGCCCGTGGCTCCGGGTCGGCACGTGCACAGTCCTGTGATGGGGTCACAGGGCACAGGCAGAGAGCCGTAAGGGTCACACTCACATTCTTGGCAGGAGCCTCCAGGGCTGCTGGGACTGCCAGTGTAGCCAGGGGCACACCTAGATAAAAACAGCAACAAAACACAGGAGGTTAAAAGCAAGTTGTGTATCCAAATTGTTGCTGTTGTTGAATGCACCAGTTTTGCTTCCTATAAAACAAAATTCCGATTATCAGGAGGTTATTGGCCAGGAGACAGCAAAACTGTTCTATAAAATGTCAGATGATAAATATTACACTCTGCGGATCTGGATGCTAAAGCAACGCGATGTAGTAAAAGAGAGACAGATATTCATGTGCTTTCAATGATGGAATTCAATATTTCATCATAATAATGGAGCAGAAACCAGTGTAGATTATCAATACCAAACGGGAAGAATGAAATTCTTTTTGAGGTATCAAACATTATTTTATTTTAGCTCAGATTTAATGCTCGCTGTCATTAAACTGAGTGCAGATGTTTAATTATAGCAGTGGTTATCAGCCACTTGTTAGGAGCCATTTAGAGGCAGGCAGTCAGCCAGAATTGCTTGTGAATAGATTGTGAATTACTCGACCTGTGGAACACAGTTTTGCTAATTCTGTTCTAGATTGTAAACTTTTAAAAGATTTGCCATCTAAACTATGAATAAAATTATATACTGACTTCTGGTTTTCTATTATGTATTGTAGAGATCAAATTTGCAAAAATATAAAATCCATTAATTTTTTAATGAAGAAAAAGGATAGATTAAATGACAGATAATCAGATTTTTTTGGACTTTTTTGTTGTATATATGTAAAGGGTAGGATTACAAAAATAAAATACACATGGTTGATTTGAGAAACAGAAAGGAAATCAATAGGATGAACCCCAAATGTAGCCCATTTATGACCCTGTACCCATTCACGCATTTATTCACCTAACATCACTATGGATTACCGTACTAGAAGCTGATAGTGGTACTGCAGTTCCTCTTGTCCTGGCTTAATGTGTAAAAACATTTTGTGTCTCTCATTGAAGTATTCATGAGTGATCACAAAAATCACATATGTGGTTAGTGTAAATACAACCATTAGATTTTGTCCTGCATACAAGTATTGGGGGAAGTTGAGGAAAATAATATTGTTTTGAAACCAAAATTTATCAAAGGATCATGTCTTTTAAAATTGCTTCTAAATCTTATTTATTTATATATTTACTTATTTGAAAGTGAGAATGAAAATGAGAACAGGAGAGAAAATCCCATGGGTGGATTCACTTCCTAAATGTTCACCACAGTTGGGATTGGGCTGGGTGAAGGTTTGAAACAGGAAATCAACTCTCTTCCTCCCTGTGGATGCCAGGGGCCGAACCACTGGAAAAACTATTATATCTGCTGAGAATGCATATTATCAGCAAGTCAGATTCAGAAACTGAGGCTGGACTCAAAACCAGGACCTCAGTCACAGGAAATGGGCATCCTATGTGGTGTCTTAACTGTGATGCCAGAGGCCCACACCTTAGAGCATTGTAGTGGCCTGGGACTGCAGAAAATTTGCATGGTTGATGGTTAAAGTGAATTCATTTTGTGCTAAAGGCAAAGCAAGAAGAATAACTTGCCACAAAATCAAGTTTTTAAACACAGTCATGGGTTTGCTTGCTATTAAAAATGTCACTTAAATAAGGGAAGGTGTTTTGTTAGAACCACATGTGAGAACACAGCATCCCAACATCCAAGTATCTTAGTTTTTTTCCCAGTTGCCTGATAATGTGCACCCTGGAAGCAATGGTGGTGGCTCAAATTGTTGGGACCATTTTGCACACATATGGGCATTTGGGCAGTGAACCAGTGAATAGGAATATTCTCTCTGTGTCTCTAATACGAATGATGAAGATGAAGAATAAGGAGGGGCTTCTATATTACAGGGACACTAAAAAATGTAAGCGGTTTTAGCCTTCAGTTGATGGGTTTAGGTTAAACTGAAGGTGATCTAAACAATTTAAAAGCTCAGAAGTAGAACAAATTTATCTGGAAGGTTACAATAAAATTTGATCCAATATATTTGGCTAAATCAGATGAAGAATGGTGTTTTTTTTTTTCAAGAAATTTAATCAGATTATTTACATGTTCACCATGATGGATGCAAAGCTATTAAAACAGTGGAGAATTGCGAAAACAATTCATACCACTCACAGTTGATATTAAGTGTATAAGTCTATTCATCTATAAGCTATATGAACTGTCAGCCCTTATTGATTAAAATGGATATTAAAAATAAATTTTCTGTAACTGCTATGATTTAATTCCAATGATTGTCATTTCTGCATAACCTTTCAACATTCACATGCTTTTGCAGATAGCTGTAACCCAAGTTTATTAATGTAACTACATGATAAAATATTTTTTCCATAAATTACTACAGATAATCCTGTCGTACAAATCCTTGTAGTCATTATCCTATTGGTATTTACAAGGGCATGAATGAATATTAGTTTAAGCATAAATAGTAAACACACTAGTGGAAACAAATTTATATATAAACATGCACATAAAATATTCAAATTACACTAAATATTCAAAATCAATGGAAGTGACTTGAGTTTCCCATTGCAGTGAATTATTTAACTACTGCTAATTTCTGCTGACATGGACATTGTGAATGTGAACCTGCAAGTAATAGATGCCATGCTTAGAATTACCACCTATAGCTGATATTTAGAAATGTATTTTATTTATTTTACTCTTATTTTTATAAGGTGATCATACTTCCTGCATTTCACGATCCAGAATTAGGAACAAATTAATAGTCCTCACATTATACTCTTTTCTCCCTTTTTTAAATTTTTACAACTTTTCAGTTCCCTTTATAGCCACAGACTTAACAATTCATTAGCTAAATAACTGAACAAATAGCAGAGTAGAAAAAACATCACTCTTCCTCAAAATATAGAGTGACTGTAAACAATAATCAGTCTCAAAATGTCAGTTTCATTCCGGTGGAATATACTGTTTGTTCCCTGCATTTTATAATTTTAAAATTTATTTATAAATTTCTAACTACATTGGCATTTTCATTTAGTTATCTTCTTGTTGCCTTTATTAATGTGCTTCCTGTTGGCTATGTAATAAGAATATTCTTAAATATGTAAATTACATCTTCAGATTCTTTAGTTTGGAGGTAAATGAGCAGGACTTTGTACTTGTTCACTAATGAGTCATTGGAAAAGTTTCAGGTCTGTTTTGTGCCTCCTACTAAAGAGGTGTTTGCCTTGTAGGTGCCTAGGTAGAGTAACAGCAAAGTCCATTAAACACGTTCAGTGCCACACTATCAATTTTATATAAAGTATCAGTCATTATGATGTACAAATAATAAAGAGGGGAACAGTTATGTTGGTGGAATGAAGCTAAGTTCACATATCCCTCTAAAACTTGAGTTACACTTCTACCAATTATGCTAAAATGATTGTGTATGAAAATGTTTAAATAAGACTTGTTCCCTAGAATTCACACAAGAGTTTAATTTTAAGGTATATATTAATGATATTAAGCAATAGGCATGTTATCTGACATTGGGTTTAAAACCGCATTGGAGTCAGTTTTCAAAATGGGCCCTTTGATTGAATCATGCTTAAGTTACCTTTCACAGTACTGGCCTTCATACCCCCGAGGACAAGCCGTGCAGCGGTAGTCGTCCAGACCTTGCATGACACATGAAGGACTGAAACTGAATCAACAACATAAAAGATTGTAAAAGAGACATTAGCTGAGTTCTTTTTTTGTTTTAATAATCAAACACATCTGTCATTATCAAAGTTATTAGGATAGATCGGTAGGTGGTGACGAAAGCTACATTTATAACTACTGGTATTCTTCTTGTGCAGTATCAGTTAAATACTACTAATAGTGAACATATAAAATTTGCTTTGATGAATCAACAATGCCTTGCATTACATAAATATCTTACAATTTTAATAATTAGCTAACAGCCAGGGAAATGCTAGACATTTAGCAAGATCCTATTAGTTATTAATTAAAAGAAAATATGATTTGGTTTTATGCACAGGAGCCAAATGCAAAAATAGGTATTACTAAATATCTGTCCCATTTAAACATGCACAAGAGCTATATAATTTGTTCCTAAAAACCTAGTCCAAATTGCCACTGACACTTTAATACATGGTATGAATAAATGCTTTGCCTAGAATAAAATAATTCCTTTTTAAATTCATATCCAGATTTCAAGCTATATTTTACTTTAAGCACAAAGTAATATGATTTAGTACGAGGAAAGAAGAGAAAGTTTTCTGTGTAAAGCTGAATATTTGCTATTTTAAGGTCTTTTCTAATAATTAGGTGATCTATAACTGGTCCTGTGTTTTCATTCCAATACTAGTAATAAGAGCCAGCTGGTCTTCTTTCAAGATTTTTGTTTTTCTAACAATATAAAGGAAACTTGGACAACGAAACAGTACAAACAAGCAGCTTTGAGCAGTTAAGAACAACTGGCGGATATAAGCAGAGCTGTGTACCCACTGGGTTAAATTTCCCATAGCATCATACACCATTGTAGAAGATGACTCTGAAAGACTCTCTTTTAATTTTGATGAACTTCTAAGTGAGTTGATATTGAAAAGGCAATATAAGAAGTATGGACCAGGACCAAAAAATCTTCTGGACTCTATTTCAACTGTCCTGCAAGGTATTCAATCTATATTCCACGAGTGAATGACAAACTAACCTTCTCAACATGGGAACAAATTGAGCTAATACCCAGTAGCTCATTATCCAACCAATTTACAGTTGGCCTTTTCAAAAATAGACCCACAGACTCATAATTGACACATTCTTTCAAGTTTTCAGCTCTTTAGTTCAGAGCTTGCTGCTGAGTGCATCTGCTCACACACATGGACACACAACTCACATATATATATATAGGCACCAAAAACAGATTTGAGACATTTGAGGTGTAATTGGACAGAGCCAACACCAAGAAGTTACATTCCTCTACAGTAAAGCTGTAAAGTGGCAAGAAATGTAACATTCAATAACAAATTTTAAAAGTTTCTGAAAGCACTGTGCAGAAATGTAGCAATTCTCCTTGGAGAGTTGATAGAAACTTTTAAAAGTTATGATATTAGGGCGAATTACATTTTTTCCCCTGGAGTCACATGAAGTAGGAAGTAAAAGTAACATGCTGCTTGAAGTGAGAGTTAACCCTTTCTGCTCTCATTCTCAGCCTGTCTCGCAGTCCACCCAGAAATTTTCATCTGCCTGTTTGGTTGCCCTGTTTCAAATTCCCCTATGATAGGTAATTCTTTTTTTAAAAGTTATTTTATTTATTTTGAAAAGCAGAGTTGCAGAGACAAGGGATACAGAAAGAGAGATTTTCCATCCCCTGGTGAACTCCCCAGATGGCTACAACAGCCAGAGCTAGCCCAGACTGAAGCCACAGGGCAAGAGTTTCTCTCTGGTCTTCTCCCACCAAGGCCTATATACTTGGGCCATCTTCTGCTGCTTTCCCAGGCCATTTGCAGGGAGATGAATCAGAAGTGGAGTCAGACTAAAACTGGCACCCATATGGGATGCTGATGTTGTAGGCTATAGCTTTACCCGCTATACGACAACACCATTCCATGTGGTGCTTGATTCCAATCTGTTCTCTGAGTCATGCCCTGTGGATTCTACAGAAAGAAACGTGCTTCCCACAAACTACCATCTGGTTTTACCCATTCGTGGGATGTTTCCTCTTCATTTCCTTTGCTGGATGTATAGTATATCATTGCTCTCGTATGTGCTTCACAGTTGCTTTCAACTTTTCCTTATCTCTCTTCTTCAAATGACATAATTATGTCTTAAGGACTTTAAACACTTTTTTTACTCTAGCATATCTAAAACTGAACTCCACTTCGAAAAGTACACATGACTTTTCTGTAATATTTTCCCCACCTCAATGAACACCTCCATGTTCCCATTTGCTCAAAACCTGTGGTGTCAAATCTGTCTTTTCTCTCCCACTCCACATATACAAGGATACTACAAAAAAGCCTGGGAATTCTTGTATTTTTCTTCATAGGTTTTTATAGCATCCTTATATTCTATTTGCAAATACTACGGGCGCATTCATTGGTACCATGACTGTGTAATATTTAACCAATTGACCTGTGATAGCACATTTAAGTGGCCATTGATGCTCTGATGAATTCATTTCATGCCATCCTCTTCATCATTAATTCTGCTTTGGCCACTCTGCCTCTTTGTATTTTGCCAAGTATGGACCTGTCTCTGGGTCAGTGCATTAGCTTCTCTGTTGGGCTGTTTTTGCCTATGGACACTTATATGGCTCATTCCGAGTCATATGTTTGTAGAGACCACTGCCTGCATAAGTAACTAATATGATGTCCCATCATCCTCAATGATCAAAAATCCTTGTGATCCTTTGTGATGTAATACCCAATATCATATTCTATGTGTATTTGGTCATTGTCCACACTTAAAAAATACAAGCTTTAGGAGAGCAGGAAATGGGGACTGTTTTGTTCATTTACAAACTCCCAGCATGAAGAACTATGAGTTGAATTGGGTCCTTATGAATAGTTGTTGAGTAAAGGAATATATAAAACAGTTTCTATACCTTCAAAAAATTTAAAATTTGTGTGAAAGACATTTAGGTTTAAAAATAAGACTGAACTCTTATCCTTTATCTATTATTCAAAATGTTCAAAACACTTAATATTATTCAAAACACTTAGTCAATATTTAATTCTTCTGCAAAAGATTTATTTATTTATCTGAAAGTCAGAGATGGAGAGATATTTTCCATGTGCTGATTCACTCTCAAGATGGCAGCAATGGCTAGGGTTGAGCCAGGCTGAAGCTAGGTACGAAAGACAGGAGTGTCTTCTGAGGTTCCAAGGTTGTAGCAGTGGCCTAAAAGTTTGTGCTATCTATCTATCTTCTGCTGTTTTTTCTCAGTCATTGACAGGGTGCTGGATCATAAGTGGAGCAGGCAGGACATGAATTTTGACCCAAATGGGATGCCATTATTGGATATGGTGTCTTTACCTCACCATACCCCAATGCTGTCCTTCCTCTTTTTAGTGAATGTTTAATATCTTTTGTTAATTTTTACGAATATAAAGGCAACAGATTTCATGTATTTCATAGGTACAGTTCTAAGATGATAACCATACTTCCTTTCTTCCCTCTCCTTTTTCCTCAACTCTCCTCTGTCTTTCCCTTTTGTTCTTTAATTTTTTGCAAAGATATAATTTCAATCTCCTCTATAATCACAGGCTTAATTCAGCACTAAAAATAATTTCTGAAGCAACATTTGATTGAAATAAAGACATGAGATTAAATGCATGAGGCGTGTAAAAAAAGTACAAAAGACATGCTGTGCTATGGAAATATTTTACAGTCACAGTGACATCTCCACTGGGCCTTTAAAAATAGATTGGATTTCACAGGGATTGTCTTGGGAGCAGCAACAGCAAAGACTGCCGAGTACGTGCAGGGAAGAGAGAGCAACTCCAACCTCGTCTTCTTGCAGAAGGCAATGCAGGGCAGCAGGCCTATCGAGTTGTTTAGATTGCAGAAGGCTGCTTGTGCTCAGCTAAGGCTTCTTCCCGGGGGGAAGAAACCCTTTGAGGGCATTTGAATGTTGCTGCTCCATCACAACCCTACAGATTCTGACATAATTGCTTGATACTCAGGAATGAAGATGTAAGCAAATGTTGTACAAGTGAACTGGGGATCATTCGTATCTTCCTTATGCAGATGCTAAAAATGCGATAGCTCAGCTTTGTCAATCTGTGCCTTAGAATCTCTTTTTACATCTCTGAAAGAAGCGCTTCTTTGCCATGACCTACTTTTGTACTTTATATTTTAACTCTTCTTTACATAAACTGGTCTGCTTGGCTTATACAATTACATCTAGGTGACCAAATTAGTAGGCTATGAAAATGACTTAGTTTTAACAAAAAATGAGATAATAAAATGAACATATGTTACATACATAGTATGTTTCTATATCTATAGATGTAAACTTTTACATGCTGAGTTATGATGTAAAAAATTTTGCTCGCAGTGCTATAACCAGAAAGTTTAAAAACTATTCAATTGGCTAGTTTATCTTGATAGTTGGATCATTTGTATAAAATTATATGTACTATAAACATCATAAAAAACAAAAACGATTTCAGCCCTATTGATCCCATTCATCAATCACATAGTACTCTTTCTTCTTACTCTTGAGGTTCTGGAAAACTACCACAGATATCTTCTAACTTCCATTTCCACTATCATTTTCAAAGTTTGTCAATGACCCATCTGGTCAATGGCTGCCATGTTGTTTGGGATCTCTTAAAAGACCATCATTCGATACATGGTCACAGACCCTGCTCTTTCCCTGAGATGCAAGAACCCAGGTGCCTGCATTCCCCTGGATGCTCCTGCCTTGAAACTGGATTCTGCTTTGCTTTATTCACATAGGAAATCAAGTGTTTCCTGCTTTTCCTGTGCTCGCATTAACTCTAGCCTGGAAAATCTTATGCAATTTAACCTCATTAGTAGCATAGCTCTTTTCTCATCTGCACCTCCAATTCTCTTATTTCCATTTCCTGAAACTATCTGCATATTTCCATTCTCATCAATTAGGATGTATTTGAAACATAATATATCTTTCTTCTGTAGCAGCTCACCCCATGTTTCTCTAATAGCTATGGCCCCATCATTTTGGAGGGCAAACTTGTTAATTTCAGTCTCCAACTTCTGCCTAGATTCTGACCCCTCACATCTCATTCAGAATCTGTACTCCTGTGTTTGACAATTTTCTCACATTTATCTCCTTGTCTCCATTCTTGCCACATTACCTACAGTTGGCTTCAATCTTCTCTTGCCTTGGTTAACGTAATGCTTTTCTTCTTTTCCTGTTTAAATTTATTATTCTAGATTCTATGATAACAGTCTTCTTAAACTGCAGCTTTAACTATATTAACCTTTTAAAATAAAATCTTGAAGTGTTTCATTACTACTAAAAATACAAATTTTGTGGATTAGTATTCAAAAATTTCTGCAATATCCACCTCTATTCTCTCACTCAGTTTATTCTTTTAAAATTTTATTGGAAAGTCAGATACAGACAGGAAAAAAGAGAGGAGGATTTTCTCCTTCGATTTATTCCCGAAGTGTTTGCAACAGCCAGAGCTGCATCAATCCGAAGCCAGGTACCTCTTTCAAGTCTCCCACACTGGTTCAAGGTCCAAGGCTTGAGACTGTCCTAGACTGCTTTTCCCGACCACAAACAGGGAGCTGGAAGGAAAGCGGGGCCGCCAGGACATGAACTGGCACCCATCTGGGATCTGGCATGTGCAAGGAGAGGACTTTAACCATTAGAGCCCTGCTCATTCATTTTTATCAACAGACAATTTCTATATGAACTCCATATTCCAAACTCTATTACTAACACATTTGTGTTCTCTGTTATCTAGGATTCTGGTTATGTGATTTCCAACTGTAACTACCAACAATAGTCAAACACCTTTAATAAACAGGTTGAGAACTACTATATGCTACCTACAACTTCCTTTAACATATTCTTTTTAAAAAAGATTTATTTATTTTTATTGGAAAGATGGATATACAAAGAGGAGGAGAGACAGAGAGGAAGATCTTTTATCCAATGGTTTACTCCCCAAGTGACCACAATGGCTGGAGCTGAGCCAATCTGAAGCCAGAAGCCAGGAGGTCTTCTGGGTCTCCCATGCTGGTGCAGGGTCCCAAGCTATGGGCCATTCTTGACTACTTTCTCAAGCCACAAGCAGGGAACTGGATGGGAAGCAGGGCCGCTGGGATTAGAACCAACGCCCGTATGGGATCCCGGTGCATGCAAGGCAAGGACTTTCACCACTACACTATTGTGCCAGGCCCTTTCAACATATTCTTAAAGGTCAAAATTGTCGTATGTTGTGCCTATGAATTCTCTTTATATTTGAGTTGACTCATCTTAAGACGCATGCATAATAGTGAATGTCTGTAAAAAGTAGCATACTATTGTTGGATAATTTTTACAGCTTTTATTATAGTGTACCCAACAAGAGATTATCCACAATGATCAAATTTTTGTAACTCAATTTGCTCATACTTTAATAAGAAAACTATTTTTTGCTTAAGTTCAGTCATCAGGAAGAGATTAGGGAAAACAATATGAAAGTAATCTTATGTTTCACACACCTGTACTTGTTGTTTTAATGAGCAACAAGAATATTACAGTCTCCAACTCACCTAAACATCTATATTTGAAACCTCATAAAGGGTTTGTGATTCCAGTTAAGAAGAACTTAAAGAGGAAGGGCAGACAAACTCTACCAAAGAATGTTGAGGATAGAAGTAAGGCATAGAAGAAGACGACAAATACCCGGGCACAGGTAGAAAGATCGTTGTCTGAATTGCTCCACGCTTCTTGTATAATCAAAGTAAGATATCTAGAATTCTAATTCTGAAAAAACTGTCACACATTCTTTTCAAAGGCTAGTTCTTAGAGAAAAAAATACCCAACAGATTGAAGCCTATAAATCACTTAACACAAAGTGTAGAGAGTCTTGCACAAAGTAAATGAAAATGCCTGGGTTTTTCATCAACATATAAAGCAGTACAGAATGTTCAGACTGCACTGAAATAAGTTATTCTTGGTTTTGTTTCCCCTTATGGCCATGTTTCCATGGTACCAAGCTCAGACCATCTTACAGAAGGGGGCTGTGATTCTGGGAAATACTGACTGTCTTAGAGTGTAGCAATAAGTCACCCTGCTTTAATGTTTCAAATCTTTTTTTTTTTAAATTATTTCCCAGTCTTAGACAAAACACATGAAATGAATGGGAACAGCTACAAAAGTAATGTAATATGCACCCAAACGATCCATCATAGCTGGATTTATGGTAGAGCTATATGAAAATACTAGTTCTGTATATTTATAAAACTGTGCACATTTGTACATACATCATTTATTTTATAAACATATCTTATGCAAATGTAATTATTTACATTTTAGTAATTATTACTTAGGACAGAATTTATAAAGGAAAAATTAGTCCTCACATATTATATATTAAATTTTGCCATGCTTATACATTGCTAAAGGGCTTTTCTGTCTTACATTAAGATTTTTGTCTATATGGGTGAAACAAAATGGCCAAATCTTAGCCCATGTGCTAGACAGATGGCATTACTGATTGGGAAATATGGGTATGTTTTTCAATCTTACTTGTTGCTGGAAGAAATCAGAGGGCACGCACATTGCTGACAGTCATTTGGCAATCCCTTGACAATTCCATAGTATCCAGGAGCACATCGCTCACAGAAGTCCCCAGTGGTGTGGTGCTGGCAGCTCTGCAAGGAAAGGGCGGAAAAGGCCTGGTTTTCACTTCCCAAGAACTTTAATGTGATTTATAATAAAACTCTCAACACTTACCATACACACACACACACATACACAATACACACAATACACACTGACTCTCTGTCACTGACAGAATACTTGCTTTTTAATGTGAATATTTTAGAGAAGCACCTTCATTTCAGATTCTACTCCTACGCTACTGAGGCTGTACTGACAAGTTTCTCGCCTCTTTTCTCTGTGCCTGTACCTGTGAAAATTTAGTTTTTAGCCTTAGGGAACAGAATTAGAGAGTCTCTAACTTTTATCATATCACCTGGTCATTTATTTATTTATTTATTTATTTATTTATTTATTTTCATCTCTGGTTTTAGTTCTATAAAACACTAGGAAAAAATATACTAGAAACACCAGACCCTTATGCATGCTGGCTAGTGGTATGTTTGAAGTCAAATCTAGAAGGAAAGCGAAACTATCCAAAATGGAAATGACCGCTACAATGTAAATCTAGTCACTTCATTAAGAACTTCGAACTTCATTTGGCCAATCTTAATGGATCTTGAAAGGATCAGAAGACACAAAACAAAAATAGCCATTTAAGGTATTCTGCTTTTCATGCTCTTATAACAATAGACAGTAGGGCGACATGACTAAAAGCATTTCTAAAAGCAGGTGAAAACTGCTTTAAAGCAATGTACAGTTTTGACATAAAAATTTTCATAAGGTAGAGGAAGATGTACTATCAAGCAATAGAGTGACGTGCAAGACATGGACATGGGCACTGAGATTGTCAAGGAAGGGGAAATGTAAAATATTCTTACTCTCCAGGAAATCGCTTCCTTTCTGGCAAACAAGCAAGCAAACAAACAAATAAAAACTTAACAAATAATAAGCATGGGAGAAAGAACATAATATTGAATATTATTTACTGGACATGTAGTACTTGACTTAGGAAATTGAGAAAAAAATAAGATACATTTTTTGAAATGTTTTTAGAAAGCACATGGAAAATAAAATTATTTTTATTTAAAACTTGTAAAAGCATGCACAGTTTTTTTTAGCTAATATAGATGTTTCAAAAATCTTTGAAGATGTCACTATAAAGGAAATTTGCAGTTGGATTCTAGCTTCATCTTATAAGATGGTGGGTGGTAAAAATAGCAATTTACTTCTGGTAAAAAATAAATCAAAGAAAATTTGAGAAGCAGTCAGTTACAAAACATATATATTTGTGAGTGATTTGATCATCTGATCAACTTGACCAGAGCCGCAGGGCTGCCTGAAGGCTCCATACTGAACTTGAATATACCACATTCTGAATATGGCTTTATTCACAGCTGAAAAACCGTAGTTAGTTTTCATATGTCTCCTACTGAGCAAACAACCTTGGCTTTGAAAATGTCATCTTTCATTAAATGCTATTAACTAAAGTCAATTCCAACACATATATTGTGAAATTCTAAAATATTAACGTTCGCAGTATATTTATGAGAGTTTATGTTGTTATCTGCAAAGAAACTGCAATACTGCCATAATGAATATTAGACTACTGGCTTTTTATGTTACTGGTATATTAACATATTCTATGTCATTCAGAAATGCTTGTGGAACAAGAAAACCACGCAATTTTTTAATATGATAGGGAATGGATTTCAAAGCTTCTAATGCTCCACTTCACTCTCAGTAGATGCTGGATCTGTAGTATAAGAGCAAAGAACACCATCATCTAGGTATCCACTCAGATTCCTGCCAAGCAATGCCCCAGCTTGCCTGCTTATCATGCGTCTCTTTGACACACAGTCAGGGAAGTGTTATTTTATCCTTGGTCCATAGATACTTTTCCAACAAACTGGCTTCCCTGTCTCCTGCACCAAATCTTCTCCAACGTTTTTTCTCTTTCCTTGTCTTTTTTTTTTCCAATTTACATTTGAAGCTAATCAAGAATTTCTATTTAAAAATATCTGTGGTATCTTAGTCCCTCAACAACTTCCATATTTGCTAAGCTTTTGAAAAAGAGAACAGGTTTTATGCATACACATCCCATAGATATAGTTCTAAGAAGACAACCTCATGTTCCTGCTCTTCCCTAACACCGGCTCCTCCTCATCGCTTTTAAAAAGGCTTGGCTTACATTCTTGTTTTCCACTCACTCAACTCCAATACATTCTTTGAACAGGCTTCTAATATCTCCTTCTAAGCATAATTTCATGCTTATTAAAACTGCAAAATGATTAGTTCTCAGAATAGGTGAATTTTCTGCAACAGTTGATATTTCTGAACCCTCCCTCTTTGAAGTATCCTTTTCTTATGATTCCTCTATAGTTACTCTTACTTTCCCTCATGGAGTATAACTTCTCTTTCAGCTAGGCAAGTTTAATGTTCTTTATTCTAACATAACCTGCATGATTTGCGGGGAGAGTCCCTAAACATTGTACTTGGTGGTTTCAACCAATACTTAAAATTTACTATGAGGGTATTAAAAATTCTACATTTTATTTATTCAACCTGCACAACGCTAATGAATTTCAGACTTGGATTTCTAATTGCTTCTATGATCGATATTATGACGTGATGCAAAATTGTACTGAATTTTAAATGCCAAAAATATAACTCATGTCTTTATTACCTAGATAATATTACTATATTCCCATTTCATTTCATTTCACTCAGCTGTCCAAGTCAGCAACCTACAGGCCTTCTTATTCCATGTATCTATTTAATGACTTACTCCATGATTTTATCAATCTATATATCTTCTTTCAACATTTACTTTTATTTATTTCAAACTCTGAGTGATGGATGTATGTTTGTGGACAGGGTAGGCAGGAGAATGACATCTAAGTTCATTCCCTAAGTGAGCACCACAGCCATGGCTTGGCCAGACTGATGCAATGAGCCTGGAACTCCAGCCAGGTGTCCTACATGGGAGACTGGGCCCACACACTTGGGATATTTGCTGCTGCTTTCCAAGCTACGTTAGCAGAGAACTAGTTAGAGGCTAAGCAGCAAGGACTCCAACTGCTATCCAGCTAAGGGTGCTGTAGGTGGCAGATTACACTGTTGTATCACAACCTTGACTCTACCTCGTGCTTCTAGACTTTCTTCACATATGTTCATATATAATCAAATATATATGTATATATTCATAAATATGTACATGCACATGTATTCATAAATATATATAAACTGCTAGAATATTTTCTTATCCAGCATTTTCTTCTTCACTCCTTTTCCTGCACCATAATCAGCAATCAACCTAACATTAATTTTTCACTGCCTTGTGTATAAATCACAAACTTCCTTGTGTGAAAGAAAGATCATTCTTTGTCTGCCTCCGTTTACCGCTGCAGTTTCCAGCCAATGAGTAGGTACTCTTCTTGTGTACTGTGCAAGTACGCCATTTGAAATTCTTAAATCATGCAATTTTCACTCTCACTCTTGGAATTTCTCATTTGAAAATTCATTGCACTAGAATGTTTTTCCTCTGTTTACCTGGCTAATACCTATTCATCTGAGCTCTTATTTTAAATGTTATTATTTTCCGGCAAATAATTGCTGCTGTCCAGAGTCCGACATAAATTCTCCCTCTGGGTTAATACAATGAATGAAACCTAGTAGGTTTTCAATGAATATTTTGAATGAATGAATGAACATATGTTTCAGGCAGTACAAAGCAAATGGTCAGAGTTCCTAACATGAAAAAGATGATGTTTCAATTCTAATAACAACAGCAAACTGTTTTCTCAGTTTTAATGTTGATTTAGGTAGCATGTGCCTCATATTCAATATTCAAAGCAACACACCGTATTTTTGCAATGAAACAGCTATTTCATATTTAACAGTATCATTGTGAGAGATAATCGCTTCAAGATAAAATGATTGTCTATGAATACCGGCATCAAGTCATTCAGCCAAGTGCCAAATGATGAATAAGTGCTAACTGGGGAATGTTTTAAGAATATATTTTATAGTCATGGAAATGAATGTTTGCCAGAAGCACATGAGATCTTTAGCAATAATTTTCTTCAATTTGGCTTTGTAATAAAATCATTGTATAATGAATATTTTGAGTAATATAAATTTAGGATTCACATCTGAATCAAAATACTGAGATGATCATAACTCAAACTACAGAGATGGAAGCAAAAGATTTGATTTCTTTGATACATGCAATTTTATGAAATTTCTTCCCTGAATAAGCAAATATTTTCAGCTCTTCTGGTCAGTCAATCTTTCACAGGGCTGCTGACATACTCAGTTTGGTTAAGTGAATTAAATGTCCTGATTAGGTCTAAAAACAACACAAAAATTACAGAACATTGTAATAATAACTAAAAGATAAGCAAAACATAATAAATGGCCCATGAACATTTCTTAATACATAAAATGTGCTTATATCTATTTATTTACCATGGCAAATCAAGGAGAAAAAAGAATACTTTTCAATAGATCACTCTTCACAGAAATACATATTTGAATAAATATTTCCTAATAGCACAGTGAATTCTAAAAAGGTTAAAGTGTTGCATCCAAAATTAAATTGTGAAATTAATGACAAAAACTATGGATGTCAGGAAATGTATTGAAAATCGCTTGCTTGGGTGATATCATTGTGAGAATCAATCTGCCAGAGAAGGAAATGCCTCCAAAGCTGAATCACAGGATCACTACCACATGGATTTCCAGGTAATGAGGAAGAAGAAGCCATAAGGCTGAAAAACTCCACATTGTCAAAGCAAGCTTAACCATAAATTTAAAAAATTTTAAGATGGAAATAAAAATAAAAGCTGGTCATTTGAAGTAAGGGAGATTCAGTGCCGAGGCAATGTGCATGCTCGGGAGGAATCGGAAGTAACGCGATCACAAGTGCAAGATTTGGTCTGCTCTAGAAACAAGAAGAGATTGGTGAAAGTCATGGGAGAGAAAATCGTTTGGCATAGATGCAGAAAGGTAGCAGAGCAGCAGAGAAAGCTCATGCCACCTCTCTCTTAATCACCTTTAATTTTTTTCATGAAGTACGAAATATCACCTACTGCGATTACAGATATAAAGGAATGAGCGGAGAAGGTTAGGCTTGAAGAGTGCTAGGAAGAAGTTAAACAGTGATTAAGCAATAGAAGGGAGGAAATGGACAACCATGAAGTGTCATGACTGAGAACAGCATAGAGATCTGCTGAAACAGGGTGGTCATAAACTTTACAGTATTATACCTGTTGTCCTGATGCCTGTCTCTGTGTAGACCATCTAAGTGTGGAGCAGACAGTAGGATGCAATGAGCGTTGAAGTTAACTGAGCAAAAATGAGTGGTAGACTAGAAAGGAAAATGAGTGTTGCAAAGCAATGATACCAATGAAGGGCCATAGTTTTTAGCTGGTTAGGACAGTTAGGGCATGGATGAGATAGGACCAAATAAAAGGTGTAACCACCACTGTGAGGTTAAATACTGAAGTACTAAGATGTGCACTAAAGAGAACAAAGGTGCTTGGCAACTAATAGGGTTCTCATAAAACAGAGACTATAGAATCAAAAGAGGCCAAGAGTTAAATAATGAGAGTTGTGATAGCTGCAGTGCTGGAGAGAATGGCAATGATATAGAGAAAACATCTTACAGAAATGATTGCAAATCATAGTTAGCAGGTGACATCAGCGAGGTGTGGTAGATAAAGAGATGGAAGCATCACTTTCAGAACTAGGTGTTGGTGTGAAGAAGAGGAAGAATGTGTGAAAATGGCAGCAAGCTGCAGGGGCATCTGCCTTAACTGTATTCTCAGAAGAATAAAATGTGACCACCATGTGAGTTTCCAGGGCAGCAGAGTGGGGTTTGCGTTGGAAACAGGTGAATAACTTTAAGGGAAAATGGCTATGGATGGCATTCGACAGTGAGTCCCATAAAGATCATTGGAAGGACTTCAGAGATGAGGAAAGATGGAAGAAGTTGGCAAGGATGTCAGACCTGTGCCAGGAACATAGTTCTGGGTGACAGGCGATGACACAGGAAACTTGGGTTTCTCACTGTGACTGTAAAGGACAGAACACATGAAGGCTGCTGATGCACATACACACTAACTCTGTGCACTGCGGATGAGCTGGCCTTTGCATGCTGAGCACTGTAGACAAATGAGTAAAGAGACTTGTTTCACAAACGGTTCAGATGCCCACCTGGCATATGGAGGTTTCCGGGTCACACAGGCTGCTATGTCCATTGCACTGACATGGCACGCATGTGCCCAGGGTGGGTCCAGGGGTGTGACCACCTGGTTGAGAACGCAGTCGATAAAACCCTGGCAAGCATGTCTGAAAGAAAAAGATGCCAATTACGAAAGTTAGGACAGATACCTAGCTTTAGTAATGCCCAAGTTTTTCAATTTTTGAAATTACAGAATGTTTTCCCCTCCTTGTACTGGGGCCACACTACTTGCTCATTCCAACACTAGTTTGATGGTATCTCCGGCGCATTTATGCCCAGCCCCTGAAATAATCAGGTAGGCAGCCTGTGTGGAATCAGATTAGCTAAAGAATGCGTCCATTTGCACACACAACACTTATGCTCTGTTTTAGAAAAGTCTTTGAATAATCCTTTTTGCTGTTGTCATTCCTCAATTTGTTTTTTGTTTTTTTTTTGTAATTCTGGAGGTTGAACTAGTGAAAGAATTGAATGACAACCTTGATATGTCCTTGATAAACTAAAACACATTTCTTCTGAGCTTGATGAATAACTAGCAAATGTCCAATGAGACTCACCAAAAAAATATAATTGAAAAAATAAAAAAGAATAAACATGTGTCATGGATCTATCATACATATATTAACAAAACCAAAGCTATAAGTTTAAAAATATAAAATAAAAGTTGTACTTGTTTGGGGACTAGTCAGCTGTCAATAAGATTTAATCTTTCCCTGATTGTTTTTTTTTTAAATCTTTCATTTCACTCTAAACACTTGAATATCAAGGAAAAGCTACTAGTGAAACTGACATATGCAAAATCCAGGCCTTCATGTTCATTTGGGTCTCTATGTAATGTATCAAAAACACATCTAGTTTTTTGGAAAGAAGGCCATGTTTTTGGAAAGGGAGTAAAAACAGACCTGCACCGCAGGCTGAGCCCTTCCATACAAAGATGCCACACTGAGCAATTGTTGGTTCTTTTATGAGTCAAATATAGAATCAGTTTTTTCAGATTCTGGTAAGGATTGTTAGAGAAACCTTTTTACTGTTTTGGTTAGGGAGGGTATTTATTTCTCACTGAAAAACATTTCCCCAGTACGTTAAATTCCCAGCTCACAATTGGTTCCCTGGATGGGAGCACAAGGTAAGTGAGGCAGGTACCAGGGAAAGGTCAGGATCTTCTTCATGTATGTTCTCACTCCATGACGCCTGGAACTTATGCGCATTGTATTTTCCCACAAGTTTAGAAGTTTAGAAACTTAATGAAAACTTTCCAAAGTGAAAGTAAATTTTTTGAAATGGAAAAACACAACCATGCTCCCAATTTGAAGAAAAATGATTTATTGAATAAGTAGGAGAAAATGCTAGTTTTAGGAGTTCCATGTCCTCCACACACTTTCAGGAAGTCCCTCAGAAAAAGAATATGTGTTTTCTTTGTTTGTTTTTATTTGGAAAATGCCAAAGCAGCTCAATCAAGCCCTTAATTAAGAGCTTGCCCGCTTTTATCAGAGCATGTAAGAAATTCTAGTAAGATTTAATAACACCCCAGAGTCGAAAAAACTTAATTAAAATAAAAAACATTGCACTCAAAATATTTTGAGTTACACTTGTTTTAAGGTAGATACAGTTGTATCTTTTAAGTAAATTCATTTTGATTATGCAAGTCAATTTTCATTTTTGTTGTTCTTACTGAATTAGATCTGAAAGCTACGGTTGCAGAATTTAGTTAAGTATAGTTAAAGACACAGTGCAAAAGTATATTTTAAAGTGTCTCACCGTGTGGGTTGTTCCAATTTGTTAGCATGCTGACTGCTGGATAAAATTAGATTTTCTTTACTTGGATTTCATCCTTCAATACCTGTATAATTATTTTTCTCTTATTGTTACATTTTCTTGAAGGTAAGGATGTGTGTGTATGTGTGTGTGAAAAAGTCGCTCAAAGTGAGGAAAAAGTTCCTAGCTCCTTTCTTTCTCAAATGAAAGTTTAAAACACAAGTTAGAATAAATTCTTCAACTCTTGGTTGAAGAATTACATGAAACTCATTATTATAGCCTGAAATGCCTGGGGAGCACTAAGCTGAAGTTTATTGTGTGGCAAACCTCACCTTGTTCCTGTTGCTGTGGCTCTTCTCTGAAGGGAGAGAGAAACGGAAAAGCACCTGGGGTGGGAATTCATGAACTTCCTGTCAAACTCTGGCTTAATTCTTTTTTAGAACTTTTCCTGGCATATCTGAGTTTCTAAAAATAATGATACTTAGCTTTACTCTAAGAAGCCAAATTTAATTGGTAGAAAGTGGGGTTGGGGTGTGTTTTAAACCCCGAGAAAGTCTAGTAAGCAGAGGATCACTGGAAAACCCTCACTCTATGCATATACTGCTTTAAATGAGTGCTACAATGTGAACAGATTTACAAGTCCTGATTTTAAAAGTGGATTTCATCTGAGCTATGGGCAAGTTACTTGTTGTTGCAATTTTAACATTTTAGGTGAATTTAATATTCTGATGGATTAAATTTCTGAAAGCAAAGAAAAAACCAAGACTTTCACAATGCAAATGTTAGAAATAATGTTAGAAATTTAAAATTGTTTCCTTTAAACAAGGTGATCTATTTCTTCCTCTTTAGTCCCTTTTATGTGTCCTCTCATATTTCTTATTTCCATTTTTAAACTTTTTCAAGATGTTTAATATTATATATTTCTTCCCTGAGTGGACTGATAGATCAGTTTCTTGAGAATAAGCATGTCTGGGTTGAAAACAAAGGAAAGACATTTTGAGTCCCAGCTAAAATTCTTTCTGGAACACAATAAAGAATTTAAAAAAAACTGCACATTCCTGATTTCATCTTACTCCCTTTTTATCCATCACTCAAATTTTACCAAAGTTCTTTTTGCATGTGCTGAAATTATTCACAGCTAAATTTTCCCCTTCTCTCCTTCCATCTTTCACTTACTGCCATAAAATAGTATATCAAGATGTGAGACTCAGATTCACACAAAAATGTTTTTGAATAAAGAAAAAAGAAATTAGACAGCCAACATGTCCAGATGGACAGTTGTACAATGCATTCCCCCTTTCCTCAGAATTGAATAGTTAAAATAGATACTTGTGGTGCAGCCAATGAAAGCACTCTTCTATTTCATCTTTCCATAAGTTCATTGACCAGCTAACACATGACACTGGACAGATTTTGAATATTGTGTGCCCCGTTTCATTCCCTGAATCATAAGGATGGAGTGCAACTGCCAACTATGCATTTATATGGATTTTGGAAGTAGATTTATTAGGGTACAGATTGTAGTTCTGCTACAGCTTAGCTGTGTGATAATGAACTGAGCCTCAGTTTCCTCATCGGTAAAATGGAACTCATATATTATCCTGAATGACTGTGCTATCATAGTGTCAGGAAATGTGCTGGGGTTAGGCAAGAGACAAAAATCCGTCCATAAGTGGTGAGGAAGAACAAAGACAATGCCTCCATGCCTGATGTGAAATAAGTTAATATATCCACCCCTAGTATATGATTTACATATTTTACATATTTGCTGTGGATAAACCAGAAGTAAAAAATCATTACTGTTCTAGGTATCACTGGGAAACAAAATTGGCATATTGCTGTAGTGATAGGATTTGCATGCGGGAGCTGAGCAAACAGATATGCCTATTTCTACATTTTGCCTTTTGGGTTTTATGAATTGATCATAAATATTACTTGTTGAGATTTTATAAAAAATACTAGTTTTAATAGTCACGCTTGACAGTCACAGCCTCATGGCTTCAAGAGACAAATCTGGTAAGGAAACCATGTTACTTTTTTCTCTTCTTAAAACCATAAATTATAATAATCAGGCATTTATAAAACAGGGTTTTAACGAAGTTGCCATAAATGCCCTATCACTACAGGTAGTAGGCTAAGGCTTTCAAACAGATTGTGTTGTAACTGGCAGCCAATGTTTAACTGCCAATAAATTCTGCATAAAAGTGAGGATATACTGTTGATGCATAGGCCTCCAGGTACATTTGGTGAAACTATTTTAAAGGGATTGCTTTGTGTATTCATGGCCCAAAGCATATGCTACTGAAATGGAATGTATTATTTCACAACTGTCCTGCGTTCTTGCTTTGGTGATTAGATTTTATGCTTGAGTAATTGTACTTTAAAATCAGAATGAATTATAAATAAGGTGTATAATAGATTAGAGGCAATGGATTGTGGAGAACACCTCAGGTATCTTATTATGAGAGAGAAATCTTTGTCTCTGTAATCTTTCCTTTAAGATATTACTATAATTATTGTCTATAAATAGGAGCTTAAGTGAAATACACAGGACATAACTAAAGCCACTAATGCAGATGATAGTTTAGCTTCTAAAGAGTTTTCTTCATTTATCATTTGCTTTTCTCAACCAATTTTTAATCTCATACAATGATGGAAAGTTAATAGTTAAGTTTATTTTAGAATATATGATTTCAGTATTTTCGGTCACGTTAAGAGGAGCTTCTGTAAAACATAATCTTGAATAAAAGGTAAATTGCATTAAAATAATTTGTTACTTTCAAAGTATTTGTGTTCATTAGTGAACAATATTATCTTAGGTAATACAAACAATATAGCTGAACTAGCAGCATTCTTTTCAAGATATATAAAGGTCAACCTTGACAAAATACTGAATCTTGTCTGAAGCCAAACAACATTGCAACGTCAGAGAATTTTGGAATTTCAAATCCCAACCTGTCATTTCATAAATTGGATACATATATAATAATTAAGGTCTACAGAAATTAAAAGAATGTGCCAAGGTCACATAGTCAGCAGTGTAGTTGTATTTTTTGTGGGATAATATGCTATTCTCTTGTCTAGAAAATCCAAGGTTCTATCTGGCCTTTGAGATACACACATACACACAAAAATACAGACACACACACACACACACAAAACCAGAAAGAGAGAAAGAGAAATAACACCTCATCCATTGCTTGATTCCCCAAATGGCCACCACAGCTGATCTGGGGTCAAAGCTTTAAGCTGGGAATGCAATCCAAAGGTTGCCGGGGTTCCAATTATTTGAACCATTACAGTTGCCTCCCACTGCGTGCATTAGTAGGAAGCCAGTATTAGGCTAGAGCTAGAAATCAAACCTTGCTACTCTGATGCTAAATGTTTGGTTTTCCTTTATCTTCTAATCTTTCAAAATTAATTGCAATATTAGAAAATGTGATATTTGTACACCATACATTTTTTTATTCACATGCTGTTTCTACATGTGAATTTGTGTGGGTTTTGCATACCAACACATACACATTATTTATTGGTATGTACATATGAGTTACTATTTAATGAGGGTATTTTCTTCTTTGTTGCATCAGAATTGACAAATTCATTCATGAAAATTGCTGTGGAATTTTTCCAAGAATGCCTTATATTTGTAGTTATCCTATGAGACTCTTCTCTGAACAAGACATTTTTATGTAATGCTAACTGAAATAACTATTTATAAAGAGGCTTTCCCATATATGTTTTCCTTTAAATTAATCCTTATGTGAATATACTATAATTCTATTTGAACCAAAGGTACCAGATCAAGCAGAGCTGATGGTGTAGTTAAATGAGATTTAGCAAATTTCTTTTCCTTTTAATTTTTCCATGCCACCGGTTAGTAAACTGAGTTGATATTTGTAACTTATAATTCAGTTTGATATGGTATTATCTTCTGCAACATTAATGTGACATCCCAAACTGTATTTACAAAATTATTTGCATACAAGAGTTGATGCATGTATATAGTTAAAGATTAACAATTATAACAATTGCTAATTGATGTTTAATATTCAGCCCTGCATTGCCGACTGCATGCCAGGCACTGTGATATATATTTAAGATATATAACTCATTCAGTTTTCATAAGATTCATAGGTTGCAGTAGGTACAGTGTTGAACTTTCATAAAATCTAACTTGTCCACCGGGGGAAAAACCAGCATGATGTATAAACAGGCATTTGGGCAATGGCGCTCTGGCAGGTTCTGGAGGTCCTGTCAAGCCTTTGTTTTAGGTAAGGGAGTCTTTGGTGGAGGGCAGATCTGATGGCAGCCACTCAAGGATGTGGACTTTTATAAGCTGAATCCTTAAGTGACTTAGTTTCTTGTGCAAGATGTCTGCATGCTTGAAGTCCGTGCCTGTTTCTTAAACTATTTTTTCTGAATATCACATTAGTCTTACTACTAAACAACATTTGCAGACAGTAAATTAATTTCCAGAAGATGAAGATCTAGTTTGTCAATTTTGCTGATATATATATATATGCATATACAGATTTAACTGAATGTGGGTTTGAAAATATATGACTGGAATGAAAATACAATGATTGTAACTTGAAGAGCAGGTGTATGCCCATCTGTAAAGGCTGTGTTGAAGGGTTCAGCCTACTAGTGAATATCTACTCAGGTATATATGACCGATTACTGTTAGATTATAAAAACACTTTCAAACTTGATATATTCTTATTTATGGCCACTGAAATTTAAAAGCCTTTATTTGCCCAGAAACACCACCAAGAAAATAGATCAGTTTTTGATAAATGACCCTGATGTAATTTTATTATTTCCTGATTGTTCCTTTTTTTCTCAGATTTTTCACGCTATCAGTTGTGACGAGAAACTTTCAATTGGCACTCACATCTTCTTGCTATCATGTCTCACACTATAAGTGAAAGACCAAATAAAACAGGTTAAGAGTCTTCATAAGAGTAAAACGGATGGAAGCAGTTGACTGTTCTGCAGGCATTTCCATCCGACTTTTCTTAATGGAACTGGGTGGAATGAGAAGAGCTTACCTCACAGGACAAGCCTGAATAGCCTGGGGGACAGTCACATTTTTCTATCAAGTGAGCTGGAGGAGTTGCTGCTGTGATCTGCCCTGGTTCAGCTACCTCCATTGAAATTTCTGAAATCCTGAAAAAGAGCAAGTGCACACTTAGATGATCCCATCAGCAATTAACATCAGCATTCAACAGAAGAGTCTGTCAGGGTTCCATCAACCTCCTACACATTCTATTTTCAGTTGTTTTAGTTGGTAAATATAAATAACATATATATCTGGCATATATTTACCAAAATAATAAACTGTTGTTAGTAATATACATACATTGTAAGTTGACCAAATCCAGCCAGTTAACGTATCATGCAGAAGTTACTTAAACTTCAAGTACTCATGTGCTATATCTTATCACTGCAGCTTTGCATTCTCTAAGGCTGAGATTGCACATTAGCAAAATAGCCACATAAATCACAAGAAGCTTAGTAAATTGGATATCTGACATCCTGTTGAGAAGTTATTACAAATGTTTTTCTGCCACTTTTTAAAATTTGAGCAGACTCAAGTAGATATGACCGATTACTTGGACATTTTTAATCATGCAAATAAAAAATTCAAGGACATCAGACTATCTCCTGTAGTCACTAGCAAAATCACTTTTCATTTACTGATGTCCTTGATTTATTTCTTTTGAACTTTTGGATATCTCTTCAAGAACTTTAGAAAACCATCAAGTGTATTCTGGTAATCTTGATCACTTCTACAGATAAAGACCTTTTCAAATGAATAGTTTAAATGTTATTAACTTGTGAGAGATTGAGATAGAAGGAGAGAATCTCCATCTGCTGGCCTACTCTTGACTCTTCAAATGACTGCAGTGGTAAGAACTGGACTGGGCTGGAATTTGGCATTAGCAATGCAACCCAGCCTTTCTAAGTGGCTGATGTGCTTCTAAGGATTTGAGATATAGAATATCCATCTAAGGGCCTATGCGAGTCAAGAGCCAAGGCTTGATACCCAACCCAGGCTTTATGATTTAGTGGGCATCTTAACTACTAAATCAAACTTAAATTTTATTAAGTTTATTAAATAAATCATTCAATTGACTTAGCTAAAATTCTTATTGGTACAAAAGTTCTTATGATTGGGAAAAAAAAAAAAAAGCACAGTGAAACCATTGATATCCTTTCCATCAACTCTAAGTTGTACATTAAACCATCTGTGTAGTCCGTAATGCAACTGATTTCACGGCTCACTGTTAATGTATAAATGTTCTGCAAATACATTTTTGAAGGAGACAATGGATAATTTTGCTTCCATAAAAGCACCTCCAACAGTTTAAGGAGTTTCAATCATAAAGTTTATAGCCAGCATAGGTAGATTTTGTTGACTGAAATATGCATGCCTGTTCTAGCTTCACTAGCATTGCAGTCTACACTCAGATCAGCCAGTCTTTATGAAATACAGTGTGTTAAAATTCAAGTTTCTGCCTGCCTTCTCAGAACACACAGAAGAAAGCAGCTATGAAGAATTATTCCTCTCCCCATAAGAAAAATTCCACCCTTCTGCTCCCCTGGCAGCCAGGAACCAGGTACCTCAGTGGGAGTCAGGAGGTAACCAGAAGATGCTGCTCTCTACTGGCATCTCTGTGGAACTTTATAGCCAGAGGTGCTACTAGTATAATCCTCCCTTCTCTCTTCTACACATGGCTGCACACAACAGATCAGCCTGTGTTTAAAAAATCAAATGAAGTCTGAATGACAGCACAACAGATATTTCTGGAATGCACCATCTTTCTCAGGGGATTTGTGAAAAGTGTTATTGGTTGCATCACAGCTTGGCTGTGCTGAAGTTTCCTAAATGAATACTGGAATGCAAAAGAGGCTCTCTTTGCAAAGGCAAAGAAAAATGAATATGCCAGCACTGGCATATGATATGGTCCGGGTCTCAAAGCACAGGTGTGGCTCTTACACTTTGCATATGAAATAAAAATTTCTAAATGATCTTAAAACTTTAAACAATAATAACAGAATTGCTTTACATTTGTAAAATGAAAAGGGTGAAATAGCATGAAGAATTGCCAAATAACACACATACAGCTTCCCTTACTATTTTTTTTTAATCTAAATTCCCTCTGTCTTTCCCAGCCTCTAGATGAATAATCAAATATAGAAGGGTATGTCTTAATCACACTGGGAGTATATAAATACTTTTAAAACCCCCTGCTGCTACTCCACTGCCCTGCAACATCAAACACTGCTATTATTCACTTTATTTTCTATCATCACCAGCCTGTAACTCTAACTTTTGTGGCATTCACAAAATGTGAAATGTTTGTTTATTCTGAAGGTTCAAAAAATTGCCACTTAAGCCAAAGGATCTCATTTAGTGAGACATGTGAATTAACGTCACAGAGGAAGAGACATATAGCGAAAATAAGATAAAGTGTTCCACTGTAGAAAGATGAAATCATGTGAAACTCTTTTAGGGCAGCATGGAACAATTTGCAAAATAATCAATTTGCATGCACACAGAATCACCTGCTATCCCCTATGACATGCAAACCGGCTTCGGTTTTTGTCACCTGATTTCTATTTAATATTCTAACATAATTAAAAATGCAGCTGAAGGCATTTTTTAGTGCATGAGCTGTTATTATTGTTTTTTTCTAAATCTCCAATTACAGTGAGAAGCATAACAAAGAACCCAAAAGAACAGATCTGAGATTGAATTTTTGGTCCTTGATTTATTCTTTCACCAAAAGACCCCACGTCAACCCGGAAAGCAAAGTGGATATTCTGCATGAGCCAAAAAGACGTTATAGACTACTTTGTGCTTACTATACCAATAAATACTTGAAATACAGTCTTTCCATGTTCAGTAGTTAGAATACTTCCATGCTTTTGGTGGGGATTATCACCATAACACTTTCATTCTTTCTGGTCTGATAATTTAGCCTATGAGGCTATTTATAAACATATGTTGATTTCATATTCCTATAACATATTGAGCAATCACATGAGACAAAGTGAAAATTTGTATATACTTAACTTGCTATGTGTTACAAAACTTACATCTTTATGATTCCTCATAAAGAATTTGACAATTTCTCTTCTACTCTGAAGGAACAGAGCACTTTTGATCTTGATGTAAAAGTCTCTTTGCTCCCCCATTAGTTATTTTCTCCTTGTTCTGTATTTTCATATTTTGCTTGCTACTGCTCCTTTTCCTGAGGCCTGTAAACATGTTTAAGTCTCTCTCGTAAAATAATCATCCTTTAAGACTATGCCATTTTTTCCTCTTTTTACTTATGTTCATCCAAAATAACAGATCATAATTACAATATTATGATTATTGTGTTCCATTGTTTTTTTAAGATTTACTTATTCACTTAATTAACAAAGTGATGGAAAGAGAGGACAAGAAAGATAATGAGAGAGAGGAGTCAAAGGAGAGATTTTTCTTCTGCCCACCACATCCACAGCTGAATCAGGAAGAAACCAGAAGCCCAGGCTGGATCTCCTTTGGCTGTCAGGGACCCAATTAGATGCCACGTAGCCCACTACCTTCCAAGTGGCATTAGGAGGCAGCACATTTACAGGTGAAGTAGTGAGAAGCAGAACCAGCACTTTGACATGAGATGTGGGCAATCCAAACAGTGACTTCACCTATTACACAATAGCAACTGTCCCTTAATTCATTCTTCAAAACGTTGATATTATTTCTTTTTTTTTTTTTTAAAGATTTATTTTTATTATTTTTTTTTCATTGGAAAGGCGGATATACAGAGAGGAGAGACAGAGAGGAAGATCTTCCGTCCGATGATTCAATCCCCAAGTGAGCGCAACGGGCCGATACTATGCCAATCCGAGGCCAGGAGCCTCTTCCGGGTCTCCCACGCGGGTGCAGGTTCCCAAAGCTTTGGGCCGTCCTCGACTGCTTTCCCAGGCCACAGGCAGGGAGCTGGAAGGGAAGCGGGGCTGCCGGGATTAGAACTGGCGCCCATATGGGATCCCGGGCATGCAAGGCGAGGACCTTTAACCACTTGCGCCACCGCACCGGGCCCGATATTATTTCTGGTCCAGGAGTTCACTGTAGTTAGTATTATGACTGGGACTGGTGTCATTTCAAGTGTCAGTTCTCACAGCCTTGCTTTAGCTGTCCTCTTTGGTTCATACACAAACACCGAGCACTTTTTCAAAGTAGGCCTAACAATTTGAATTCCGTGATCAATACATTTATTCTTGATCTTCTGTATTTTTTTTTCTTTCAATGTGATTCCTCATCATTACACATCATGATGCATAGGGAATGATAATACCAGGTGGCAGAGCAGGGCATAATAATAAGAGCAATAATAATTGGAGCAACTTGGCAAGTCTGATTCCTGACAGTTGAAGGCAGTCACTTGTATAAAACTGAATTGTATCTGACCTACCACACATGTTTTATATGTGTTCCTGAACTTCCAACTGGTATCTTAATCTCATCATGTCTAAAACTAAATCATTTTTCTATTTTCCATTTTAAACTTGCTGCTGCTTTTTTTTTTTTTTTCTTGTTTGGTGAAAGGCAACAACCTCTATCAGGTAACAGGGAGACATTCTAGTCTTGGTTTCTCTTATTGCCCTCCCAAATCTATCACTTCTAAACTGCTCTTACCAAGACGTATTATGATATTCCCAATAGACTATAGAGAACGTTTTCAGCTTGAGGCTTTTTATTATAACTTACCTGCTTTGTCGCATGATATTCCCATAAGTAGCCTTAATAAGAACATAATGAATATCATACAGGACATTCAAAAAGTCTTCCCGGGTCACAGTTCTACTGATTCGAGGATCATCACCATAATATTTCCATTCTTTCTGTTAACAGGAAAAACAAACATTCTCACAAAACTGAAGACAAACCAACTGGCATATTTAGACAGAGCAACTAGTGAATTTACCTCTGTCATTTCAATTTCATGCCTTGTCAACTGGCCAATAAGAGGAGCAGCCATATGCCTGACGATAATTCTAGCATGTGTAGGAGTCCCACCTCGAATGATTACTTGAGGTTTATATGTAGAGAAACCCGTCTCTTCCCGAGCCTCAAAATAGATTGTGTACTTGAGTTTTCCTCCATAGGCCATCAGCTGACAAAATAAAATGAAGAGTAATGGTTTAGATAACTTCTGCAAAGGCATGATTGCCAAAACACATTTCTCTTTGTTCTCTGAGACTTAAGTGTTCCTCATACCTTCTTGCCTTCAAATTGTTCTGGAAGTTTCCAATAGAAAGGTTCCAGATGGAGATCCTGTCTCACCAATTCCATGTTGGCAACAATTTCTGGATGCTGAAAAGCAATCCCTTTTGTGGTTGTGTGCTGCAGTGCCTCATCCACTAGAGGCAGAATTGTCTGCTCTTCAGTCAAAGTAACCTGCGGGGTTCAAAGCACAGCAGGAGGCTCAATTCCATTTTTTTGCAAATCCTTTGAAATCCCAGTTAAGAAGGACTACACATTCATCTGCAGCACTTGGCCCTGATTTTGCTGAGGTACTCTCACAAGTGAGGGGGCTTGCCACAGAGGAGGCAAGTATGATTTTGCTTAAATGTGTAGTAAAAACAGCAATGTTGTTAAAGAATAAACTCTTTCACGCCAATACCTTCAGAATTTAGAAGTAGGAAGAGTTGGGGCCAGCATGGTGGTGTGGAAGGCTTATCCTTCACCTGTAGCACCAGTATCTCGTATGGGCACCAGTTAGTGTCTCAGCTACTCCATTTCCAATCCAGTTCCCTACTCATGAGTTGGGAAGGCAACAGAGAATAACTGAACCCCTTGGGTACTCTACCCACATGGAAAATCTAGCAAGAAGCTCCTGGCTTTGGACCAGATCAACTCTAGCTATTGTGGACATTTGGGGAGTGAACCAATGGATGGAGAACATCTCTTGCTGTCTGTCCTTTTCTCTGTATAGAATATGCCTTCCAAACATATTAACCCTATAAAAATATTTTTTAAGTAGGAAGAGTTAAAGAAACAGAAAAAAGCTAAAGGAAAACAAAACTGTAAACACACACTTAGCCACTTTAAAAAGGGATAGTTTCCTAGGGCTAGTTATGCACACGTTTTCATGTTGAAATTCGTATATCTGGACATCCAGGCTAAGTGCCTTCACTCACAAAGCCTTCTCTTCTAAGCTAGAGCTTACCACTTCCCTGACAAATTTTTCCTTTGCACTTGGCATCTATTTCATAATCAACAATGAACTAATTTTACGGAAGAATTTTAAAAAAGACATTTGTTCCAACTGCTTAACAGCACATGGCCCCCTTATCATTTCTAAATGTGCACAGGGGGAAAGGTTACTTGAATGTGTCGCCATTTCCTACTACCCCTCAGTGGCTATCTAAAAGATGCCAGCAGGAACTAACATTATACCATTACATGGCTCAGCAGCTCCTTACTCACCCACGTCCGGATCAGTCCTTTTGCCTCAGAGCACTGAGTAGTTACACCAAAGCAGTAACAGCTGCTACAGCCAAGTGGATTCTTGGCATCAAGCCCGAATTTTCCAGGCCGGCACCTGTCACAGTGGACACCTTCCACATTCACCTGAAGAAAAAGAGCTATCCTTTAGAGTTCACACTGGCAGAGCTCTGGGGGATTCAACTCCAAACAAACAAATGGGTCACGTTTGCTTTCATTTTGAAAAGTCAAAATAAAAGAATATCGAGCGTGCCAGACTCACATCTCAAATGGCATATGTAGTTTACCTAATTGTTAGGATTTCATGGGTCCTTAAAAAGTTATGAATAAATGCATATGGTACTGATTATATTTTGTCTTTTAAATATAGGCAGTGTATTTCCTATCATTCTAACATAATAGGAAAAACTCATGAGAATTTTAGGATCAAAATAAAAGCATTATTTCCTAGGCAGTGCTTTTATGCTTATGTAAAGTTGTAGAAAACAGAAGGTTAAAATGTTCACTTATATAATTCTGAAAACATAATATATGTCTTCATACACTAAGTTGATAATATCACATTATAAACATGACATAATATATAGCCATAATTATAGTGTGTAATAACATAACATTGTATTATTTTGTTCTGACTGGGGTCTCTATAGCATAAGCCACCTTTATACTAATTTCTGAAAACTAGATAAACATTTGCTTCTGAGATTTCATTCTCCAGTCGCCTTTGGCCCTCTCTCCATAGTCTTTGTCTTGAGATGATACCTAGGTCAGATTAATTACATTTATCCTGGGATTTATTTTTCAGAAATGCATACAAGAAAAAAAATCCTACTTATCCTTTTTAATTGGCTGTTTTTCTACATCATTTAGCAATATTAATGAGAGCTAGAATTTGTATATTTTCCCTATTTGTAATGGCAGTATGTATAAGTGATGAAATTTTACCAAACTTCCACAGCAGTAAATATATTTTTCAGCAGAGAGTGATCACAGAAGAACTTCAAGAGAAATGGTCATCTAAAAACTTGATTGTTTATGTGATTTTCTCTGATGGTGCTTAAAAAAACTGCATTACTTGTCTCCCCAGTGCAAGATTAGTATTATTGTCCAAAAATAAGGAAAATAGCTTTATTTTACCATGGAAATTGTGTCACCTGCATCTACTAGATTAAAGCATGGCAGTTGGGTTGAACAGTTCTTGCCACCTCAGCAGCACCTACCTTGCAGGTGCACTGCCCTGTTGCATCAGTGCAGGAGCATGTCTTAGTGTCCGAATCACAGGTGGCAGCATTTGTCCCTGGCAGGAAGCAGTCACAGAGCCTGCAGTGAGGGTAGTTCCAGTGGCCTCGATTGCACTCAGTGCACTTTGCACCAGAGAACTTTGGATGACACTTGCATTGGCCAGTATTTACGTCACACTGGAAATTCAAGGATCCCACTGCGCTGCAATTACAAGCCTAAGGCGGAGAGACAAACAGAAACCATTAACACAAAATCATGACAAATATCTTAAAATGTTAATTCTAATGTTGCTATGCTGCCATGCAGCACATACATATTAATGGAGTATCTACTATTTGCTTTGTCTTAGTTTAGCTCAGGCACTTGGGAAACATCAATGATCATAAACCTCAAAGTTCCTTCTTGCATTTACAAAAAATACATATGAATGTCCAGAAATCATAATGCTGTGTGCAGAAGAAACATTTTATCTGACACTGTCGTGGTGATGAGAGATTATATACGGGATCTCCTAAAACTCTTTTTGTTTCAAAGATTAAACCTTGAAGTCATCTTGTCATAATTTCTTGTTGTAGCATTTGAATTTTGCAAAAAAGGATCATGCAATCTAGTAGAGGAAAACAACTGAATACATAAAAAGTGTTACAGAATCCACACTACAGCCAGGAAACAGTGGAAATGTTGATAACATCATAAGGAGACAATAGTACATATTTTTTGGCATTTAGTTTTACCAATAAACCTGATTTGAGAGGCATCAAGTCTTTTTCTTTGCCCTAGATCTTCACATGACTTTTTATCCATATAATAATTTTTATTTCTCAGAATCTTTAAAACTTCAAGTTTTTTCTTATATATTTACTGGAATATGGTGAGTTTTTTCATTTTAGGGAACAACACTTTTTTTTTAATACAGTGCTGTTTCTTCTGATTTGTCATATTTTTGAATATGTTTTAATTTATATGATTCCTTTTTTCCAATTCTAATTCTTAAGCTACATCATTCCATTCACATGACAAATCTCCAATATCCTAATGTCTTCTCTAATCTTTGTGATGTACAAGGTATGGGAGGGTCTTCAACAATTTTATGAAAAATGCATATTAAAGAAAACCTACACACAGATTACAGAGTTTTTAATGTTGAAACCCCTTTTAAACTGCTCTGTTCTAGGAACCTTTCTGGGGATCATTCTATTTCTCTACACTTACTCTCCACTGTACAGCTTCTATTTTGCAGAGTACAAATTGTCACATGTGAATACCATCAATGCTTATTGTAATTACATGATTATAATTTCAGCTTCCTTTGAATAATCATATTTCATTTTGCTCAACTTCAATCTGCCCACCCATTCGTCTCTGTACTGTATGCTTCTTTTAAGGGTCTTTGCTCTTGATTTTCAGAGCTCCTATCAACTTGTAATTTAGTGAGCATGCAAAGAGAATTTCTAAAACACAATTTAGTTTTCTGGAATTAAGCATTTTTAGAGGCCAGCTGTGCTAATTATCAATCTACAGTTCCAAATTCACTCTACTTTATGATACTGTGGTTAGATTGTACAGACACCCTTCTTTAGCTAGGGTTTAATCAACATGGGGCCCTCAAAGGACCCAGTGAAGTCATGAAGGTGGACATAAAGCGTATTCCATCCTGGGTTGTGGTTCCTTGGTATCATTATCACTGTTATTTTATTGTTTAGTACATGTGGTCAGTGGGCCAGAAAAATATCCCAGTATTTCCTTAGGGCACTCTGCCCTCTCAGTGCCTTTCTCAGTAACTTTGGCCCTGATCACAAAAGTCACTTCTAAGGAACTCCAGCAACAGGATGTAGCTTGTCCTGACCAGCACTGGCCCATCACTATGACATACTGGTTTTGGTTATTGCCATTTACCATCAGCATACTGGGTGCTGACATAAGAAGAAGCAGTCTGTTCTCCACTGGCTTTTAATTTCTCTCCTGCACATCTTCTCTCAGACTAGAGGTAGTAGCTGACATTTCTTTTTACTACATAAGGATACTTTCCATTCTTCATGAGTTTTAGTAACTAGCTTTCTGCTGTTAGTTTGTTCTTTACATCCATCTTTCCATACTTAAATAGCCACTATGGTTTCTGTCCCCCAAAGTGGGACTCGGTCTGAATTTGTCACCACGTATTATTGTTTGTTCTTCGTCTGTGACCTGACTCTTTGGTGTATTTTCTATTATCCTTCTCAAACCTATAGCCCAGAGGTAGACTTACACATGCAACTTGCTAGGAAATTTTCAGATACAATTCTGGCTGGACTCACTTTTTTATCTCATACTTTTATTGTTAAGATTAGTTCTTATTTCCACCACTACCAGGACATGTCTGCCTGGTGGTTTACTTAAACAATTAGTCTTTTTGGAATGTGATAAACAATCATAGTTTCTCATATTGCTTTTCCTGGCCAAATGTGTGATTAAAAAAACCTTTCCAGGTTATGATATAAAAGTAATCATCAGGCCTTATTTTTGCTGCCAACATAGTCAAATATTTCTCTATGTTTTCATTGTTATAAGCTATAATAGATAATGTTGTCTTCGCCAAGTAGCTTAAGTGTACGGTAACTCACTTAAAATAAGTCAAATTAAGCAGTAAATAATTATATGTATGGAAAGCATAACAATGCAATAAACTTAAAAATCTTGGGAAGCATTTTTATTTGAAAATAACACACGGAATACCTGTTATCAAGTTTATTATATAAACCCAAACTTCTTCCAGAAGAATCAACAGTATACATTGGGATATTCACAAATCTGAAAGTTTATTCAGGAAACTATAGAGCAAGATAAATAAGATACTTAACTGTATGTTTAAGTAGCACTACAACCAATATCAACCTCAAATAATATTTGAGTGTAATGACTAGTTAGCAACAGAAAATTTATTCAGCATTTCCTTGTGAGTTAAAGATTTTAGCCTTTATTCTACTTTAATAATTCTATTTTAATAACAACTCAGATGTTGTTTGTGCTCACACCTTAGCATGGAAAGGTTACCTATGCCACAAGGAAAGGGAAGCTATAAACCCAAATCACCATTCAGTTCAATTATAGTCACTTAAGTTCTAAAAATAGTAAAATGCATGTTCATCAATAAGTTACTTGTAAAGAATCTATGAATTTTCTGTAACTCTTTATAATGATGAAGTGCTTAGTAACTCTGAGGTTTAGATTATTAATCACAGTTCAAAATAACAAAAAAGTCATTCAACCAATATAATCTTTATCGAATAGCCACTGAAATTGATAGAACAAGGCATACAATTGTTTTTATATAAATCTGGAATGAATCCTACCCAGATTAATATGCTAAACATCAAGTAAAGATTTTAGTTTTAGAGCTTTGTTAGAATTTGACAAAATCTTATTTTTATAGATAGAATGAAAATCCAATTCATTTCTTTATGCCTTATTTTTGAGTGTAAGTGATATAGAAGGTGTATATATTACATGTTGAGACTACAAAATATCAAGCATAAAATCTTTCAATTTTGATTGTACCAAAGTACCCTGAATTTGACAAAGTTTTGCTTAGTTTCCAAAAACATAGCTCTGTGGAACTTCCAATTTAACAACATGACATGAGAAAAATAAAGTGAGCTGTCTGTAATGAGGCAGAGAAAATGACTGCTGAAGTGCAATCATTGGCCAAATTATTTTAAACGAACTGATTTAATTTCTTTTTCATATATCAGAAAATAATTGCTCCAGAAAATAAACTCATCACCTTTTCTTCCTGTTCTTGCTTCTCCCCAAATGACCTTCATCATTATCCACTCTGTCATAAAGCCCAAATCAGGAGTCATCAGTGTCTTTTCTATGCCCTGGATCATTAGATAAACAACACCCAGCAGCTTAAAGGGCTGTCCCTCACTCCTCATGGAGACACTGACCAGCTCCAGGGTTTAAACAGTTCTTACCAGGATTTCAACAGTCATTCTAACTGGCACTTTAACCTATGGCGCTGATTCTTTAAAACGGAGTCTGGCTACGCCATGTTCTATCGTCCATCCAGGAAGAAATACTGAAGATTTTTTTTTTTTTAGTGTTGGAAATGCAACTCTTCAGAATTCTTCCGACTGCTTACCAAAAACTGAAATCTAGTCATCATTCCTATTGATTTTGCAACATCCCTAGAATTATTTCCCCATTTCCTTGCCTTGTAATTCTCAGGAAGTTTCAGCTATATGCTGTTATAGAATTTTTTGTTTTCTTCACTTTTTTGGTAGGGATCATGGGAGGCTGCATTCCTACACTTTTTCTGATCAACCTTCCTATGAGTAAAATGTAGCACACTGATCAATGTGGGTCATCACACTGTAGTGACAGGTCCACTCTGTTCTGTGACATAATTAGAATTTTGAAATTGTCTATTCTAGTGTCTACCAAAACAAACATGTTTTAGAAATAGAAAGCTCAGTGCAAAGTATGATTCACTCACCTTACAACCAGTGATAATGCTGTGGCCCCACGTGTTGGGTGCGCACTCAGAGCATTCTTCTCCAATGGTATTGGGAGGACAAATGCATTGGCCAGTCCTGGGGTCACAGTTATTACCCAGATGGGAACAGTCACATGCTTCATACATACAAGAGGGAATCAAATAAAAACGAAAACATTAGAAACTTGATATAAAGAGTGGAGCTTTATATTGTTTTGATTTGTGATGTTTTCTTTTCCTTACACTATTTAAGGATATTTCCAAATATGCAAAATTCAAGTTTGAGGATATATTCAAATTTGCTCAAAGAATGTGTGTAAATTACAAGCAATTGTTGACCTAGCTACTGAGAACATCTTTTATTTTACTTTTTCCATGAAAAAAATTGACATTTTAAAATCTTATTTCCGTGACATACAGCTGTAAGAGTATCATGCCACTTCCCACTATATCCTCCCCCTTTATGATTTTAACTTTTTCTTTTAATATTCACAGAGACATATGATAATATGTTTTATTCATATACTTGGTAAACCCTCCATTTTATTTTTATAGGCTAGGAGAAACAAAGAGAACAAGATTACATATACTTTCAAAAAATGCACAAAGCCAGCAGCTCCATGTAGGTCTGGAGTTGGGAGCAAGGAACTGAACCCAGATCTCCCATATTGGTGATAGAAGCCCAATTATTTGCATCATCATCACTGCTACTCAGGGTCAGCAAGAGCAAGAAGCTAGAATTAGCAGCCTGCAGTGTCTTCATTGCCAGGCTCAAGTCCCACCACTAAAAGCATTTTGTAGAGGACAGTTTCACATCAGATTAAGAAAAGAAAAACATAATTCTTAAATTCAAGTGAAAGGCAAAAGTTCTGAGAAAAAGTGATTTTAGAAGAATATCCTTAGCATATTTGCTTAAGTTTTCTTTTTATGGGCTCACAATTACCGCTGTGCATTCACAGCATTCCATACCAGTTGTGAAAATTGTCTAGCAGAATGCTGGATTCAGGGTAAACACAAAAGATATTAGTCATTTTTTGTATTATTACAGATATTTTCAAGCCAAAGGATGTATTTTACATGTGCACTAGGAAGAAAAGTAGTTAGCATTATGATTAAATTTATGTGCCAAAATATATCTTGCCACAGTCTGAATCATTACTTGCAAACAGAAATCCTCTAACTCGTTCTTCAATGGAAACAGAACAAGGAGCAGGAAGACCCAGACCATTAGCTAGTTTTCTGCAAAGCGCAATGTTTACCACAGTTAAAGATATTAATAAAAATAATAATGATAAACACAGGACATTTATGCATCAGCTGTTATCTTCAATATTTGGAAGTCATTAACACAGATAATTCTTTCAGAAACCCTATAGCATACACACTGTGGTTATCCTAATTTAACACAGCAATTTTGCAAAAGGGAAAATGAGGGCAAATTACTCATTCAAATTGACAAAATCAGTTATTGATGAAGCGGTGGGACAAATCCAGGCTATTTGGTATAATTCACACTTAATGCTTCTCTGCCCTTTTTTGCACATGCTGGCAATTTTGTTGCTTTGGGTTAGAATGCTACTGGATCTGCATTTCTGTAATGTGATCACCATTTTATAATTGCAAATTCAGAATGACTTCTAATAATTTAACCTCTGATTTAAAAAAACCCTTATCTCTCAATTGCTGTTTGACATCTCAAACTTATTCGTTCTTGAAATAATTTACAACATTATCCCCACTGCTTCTCATTAACAATTACTATCATAGTCAATGATAATATTTAAAATGTTATCAAAATTCTGAGGATAAAGGAATAACATTAAGGTTAAAACAACGACTTCAGAAAGCTAAGGTAAGTTCCAATCATGATTGTTTGGTTAAGGGTTAAGTCTAAATTAGTGACATATAAATCAAAAAAGTAATGTTCAGTCAGTGTTTATTTTCAGGTTTGCTAATTATTTTCTCCATTCATGACTTGGAATGCTTTAGCTGGGCATATGAGAATGTTAGTTTAAGGAACCTCTGTCTACATTTTCCGATGCACTAACTATCTGGAGCCACCTGTTTTTGTGTCAGACCATTACCATTTTCAAGGCAGCAGAAAAAAGATAAAAACACTCTTTGGTATCAGAAAGATCTTTGCACAAATTTTGCAACAGGAAAAGGAGAAGTTGAAAGTCATTAGCCTGGGAATAGAGTTTAAACAAAGATAATATTGACAGCAGAAAAAACTGAACATACAATTTCCAAGGAGCAACAGCCAAGGAGCAAATAGCCAGTAGATCTAACAGTTAGGCAGGAAAATAGCAGAGTTTTTAATCTGTAGATGGATTTTTACCAGGTTCTTGTCAACATGGTTATACACGGGGCAGTGTTGCTGCAATATAGTTTATTTTCTACTTAAAAACAGATATGCATTACTCCTAGATAATTTGTACTACATATTAGGGTCTTCAGAAGCCCCATGGAATGGTCAGGTGGTTGTTCAAGCAGGGATACCTACCTCCTTCATCACAGTGGTTGGTTTTGAGTCTCAGCTGTGCTTCTTGCTAATGGGTACACCGGGAAGCAGCAGGGGCCCAAATAGGTCATTCCTTGCCCTCCAGCTGGTGGACTGGGATAGAATACCCTGCTCCTGGCTTTGGCCTGACAGTACTAACTAGTGTGGACATTTGGGAAGCAAACTGGTGTATATAAAAGATCTGCTTTGTTTCTTTCTGCTTTTGCATAAATTTGAAAAGCTCTTATGGGAAATGTGTGTTATGGAAAATGGTACACAGATTTCAATATTTCTTCCAGCAAAATAAAAAAAATGATTCTATTTTCCTATGATCTATTTGAAGTACCTATGTACTCTTTCCTGTGCCTTTCCAGAAGCAAAATGCACTCCCACAGAAGGGAGGGCACCACAAGCAGGGCATGAATATTCAGGACTCGGTCCCTTTGTACAGACCTGTGCAGCCTCCTTCTTGGAAGTTGAAATATCCGTGGGCACAGCGGTCACACTTCTTCCCTGTGACTCCAGGCTGGCACCAACATTGCCCGCTCTCGTCACAGTCAAATGATTTAGAGCCGAAAGAATTACAGTTGCAGGGAACACATCCCCTTGCTGATTGCAGGCCGAATGTTTCACGCTGGCATCGAAGAGAAAAAAAGAAAAATAAATTTAAATCAATTAACTCACAATGAAATAAGAGGCTTCTCACTAAGATCAGTTAGGAAAAAGGAACTGAGCAGCCATCGGGACTCTGCAACTAACATTGCAACAACCATGCTATCATTAAATCGAGCAGACTGTTTCTATGCTGGTCAAAGAAAAAGATTAATTACTTCAAGATTCCATTAAATTTAATGGCAAATTAGGCATTACTGTTCTTTGTATATAAATGATAATTGATTAACGTATGTATTTAGTTGAAAGGCAAAGCAAGAGAATGAGAGGGGAAAGACAGAGATGCAAAGCCAGGAGCTCTTCTGGGTCTCCAACTCGGGTTCATGGTCCCAAGGCTTTGGGCCATCTTTGTCTGCTTTTCCAGGCATGAAGCAGGGAGTTGGACAGGAAGCAGGGCTGCTGGGATTATAACTGGCATCTATATAGGATCCTGGCACGTGTAGAGTGAGGACTTGAACCACAGGACTATTGCGCTGGACTATTACACTTTAACTCTGTGTGTCACAATACCGGCATCCAACATGAGTTTTTTTGCATGCTTTGGTTTCTTGGATTACATTATGATATTTGAAATCCATTTTGGAACCACATATTAAAACAGCAGATTTGGGAGAGAGAAGGAGGCTTTTATTCTTTAATGTTTACTCATTTCTTTTATCTATTATAAACAATCCTTATAGTAAAGCTGGCATTGTTACCTTTTGCTGTCTTTCTTGAAATTCATAGTTTCTGGTCAAGAAACTCTATGATGTAGGATAGCAGTTTAAGTCCCAGCCTACAGCACTGCCTTTCCACAGGGGCACCAATTAGAGCCTTGGCTATTTGGAACTAAATACTTCCAATCCGGCTCTGAGTTAATGTGCCTGAGAAGGCAGCGGAAGGTTGTGCAAGTGTGCAGGGCCACGATATCATGTCAGTGACTCAAATGAAATTCCTGGCTTCTACTTCTAGCCTGAGCTTGTGATGACTGTTGGGGAATGAAACAGCAGACAGAAGACGGGAAGACCTCTCTATTTCTCTCTCTTTATCTGTCTTTTCCTCTTCATAACCCTGGCATTAAAGAAAAAAAATCAGTCCTATGATGAAATGAAAAGCATATATCCTACTTAAAGCATGTGAGGGTTGTCCTTTTAAATGTAAACTATGTCACATTATTACGATATTTTAACCTGGAAAACTACCTTCGGGATTATGTCTTTGTAAAAAACAATCTTGATCTTAGCAAATTTAGTCATAAAAATTACTTCCTGATAAAAATAGATTCAGCCACTTAATGTGCATACCCAAAGAGAAATGAATAGTCCTCATTATGTATTTCTTGATTATGATTATTAGTATTAAAAATAAGTTCAAAAAATGAAACTGTTGAAGATTAACTTTTCTAATGATTATAGCTAAAAGTACTTCTATTTTTTAAATGTAAACTAGATTGAGTTTGATAATTATTTTGATCTTTATATTTACTGCTGGCTTTAGGTGTATATAGTTTTTTTTTTTTTAAAGATTTATTTATTTATTGGAAAGTCAGATATACAGAGAGGAGGAGAGACAGAGAGGAAGATCTTCCCTCCGATGATTCACTCCCCAAGTGAGCTCAACAGCCGATGCTATGCCAATCTGAAGCCAGGATCCAGGAACTTCTTCCGGGTATCTCATACAGGTGCAGGGTCCCAAAGCTTTGGGCTGTCCTTGACTGCTTTCCCAGGTCGCAAGCAAGGAGCTGGATGGGAAGTGGAGCTGCTGGAATTAGAACCGGCACCCATATGGGTTCCTGGCGCGTTCAAGGCGAGGACTTTAGCTGCTAGGCCATGCTGCCGGGCCCTATAGTTCTTTTTCTATTTTTTTTAAAGGCAAAATGTGAAGGTGAGACAGGGAGATATGGGGAAAGAGACACAGGGAGAGAGAGAAGAAGAAAGAGAGCGAGAGATTAATCTTCCATATGCTTGCTCACACTTCAAACAGCCACAACCACTAGAGCAGAGCAGATCCAAGGCCAGAAGCTTCTTCCAGGTCTCTCACATGGTACAGGAGCCCAAGGCCACAAGTAGGAAGCTGGATCAGAAGTGAGCAGCTGGGACACAAATCCACCCATCTGGAACACTGGTGCAGCATGTTCAAGCTAAGCATATTACAACACACTGCCAGCCAGTATTTCTAGTTCTAATTCAGATTTCATTATGTAATTGAAGAACAACATTTATAATAATTCTAATGACATATATTTTAATTAAAATGACCTATATGAAAATAATGATATAATATTATTGTTAAGAAAAGTCAATTTAATACAAAATTCTTATTACTTGGATTAGGGAATCAGAAATTAGGATCACAAGCTGGAAACATGCCAAGTACAGTATGACCTATAGTAACAGTTAACAGGTTAGCTGTCCAATATAAGAGAAATAGTACAACAAATAATGACACACAGTATAAAATGATAATGTATAATTAATATATATATATATCTAAAGCAGTTCAATGATAAGAATATGCTTAGGATATGGAACTAAGTAAGATTATTCAAAGTAGAATACAAAATTACATATGCATGTATCTGTAATACATGCATATGAAAATTTCTAGTACTAGATTCCTCAGACACACACAAATAGAAACTTACATCCAAATGAGCACGGAGAAAACTGACTAGCATGCAAAAAGGCTATTTTTTTTAACCAAATGAATTTTAAAAGTAATATTTTATACTTCTGTTCATTTCCTAAATGTCTTTCACTTAGCATGGATTCATTCAGCACCTGCTTCCTGGAGGACACGGGTCAACAAAGACCCTAAGATCTAGAACTGCAGATGAAAAAGCCAAAATATAAAGTTTTTAGGAATTTACAGCCAGGAAGACCTGAGGCTGGGTTCCACATGAAGCAATTGGGTATCAGTAGACACACACATACACACATATTGGTAAGCATGTGTATACACATTTATATGAGCATATATTAAATATGATTTGAAAAATCAGTACTATTTAAATTATGTATTATTTCAAAATATTTTTCCAGCAAAATGTCTTTTAATTCAATTCTTTCAAAAATGTTCAAACATGTTTTCTGAGAGGCAGAAATCCCATTTGCTCTTTTACTTGGCAGATACCTGTATCTGGTTAGCAGGGTGGGACATGAAGCCAGAAGCCAGGAACAAAGTCCAGGTCTCCCACATGGGTGGTAGGGACCCAGTCAGTTGGGCCATCAGCACTCCTTCCTACCCATTGTGGTAACAGGAACCTGGGGTTAGGATTTGTAGCTGGTACTTTATTTTAGCATATAGGCATGTTAATCAGAGTCTTAACCACAAGGTCAAATGTATGCCAGCCAGTCAACTTCTTGAAATACCCCCCATATATGCAAATATACCCGTAATGAGCAAATAAATATTAAATGTGCATGCATGTTCCTGTTATCATTACAAACTCTAAATTGATAATTGCAAAAGAATATACAAACATAAATGTTTCTACCATAATTTTGTAATTTTAAAATAATATAAAGTCTAAGTCATATACTACCAGATCTCAGTAATAAAATATTCATAAATTAATTCTTTAAAAATCTGAAAGCATAAGGAAAACCTTAGTAAATAAATTTAAGGAGCAAATGTTCCTTGGCAATAATTGAGATTAATGAGGTACAACAAACATAGGAGAGAGTGCCTGACCAGTCCCAGTGGGAGATGGATGAGCTCACATAAATTGTGTTCCCGTGGGGGTAATAACACATTCTAGAATTTAGATATTATGTTTCCCATGGACTGAGCCCTGCTCTAAAGTCCTTCATAAATATGAACTTGTTTATTCCTCAGGACAACCCTGGGAGATAACTGCTATTGTTAGCAGTTTATTTCTTTTACAAAATGGTGAAACTGAGGCCCCAAGAAACACACACTGCCTGAGAAGATGAGGATTCCGGCCACCCTGCTGCTAGTGCATACTTCTCAGCCTCGCCTGGGGCCTCAGAGCAAGAGTCGCAGAATCATCCATCACTTTGCACAAGAGGATCAGAAAAGCATGCATGAAAAGGACACACATAGGAGCCGGTTTTCTGCTAACTTAGTATTCTGAGATTCTCTAATCAGGCTCTATTCTTTTTAATTTATTCATTTGCTTTTGAAAAATGTCTTTTTAAAAGTGTATTTAATAACAATAGTAATGCTATGTAACATTCACTAAAAATGCTCCATATTTGTGTCTCATTCACGATTCTGTAATCCTGACAATGCCTCAAGGAGTCCCTGACTGCTCCCACAGTGTGCAATGCTTCTGACCCACACCCTGCATTTCCCAACCTTCTGGATCCATCAGTGGAGCTCCGTGATAGACCGGATGCTTATGCTCCAGGTGATGGTTTTGGATAAGATGCTCATCCTTCGCAAGGGGAAGAAGAAGAAGCATGATGGTGAAGACCTCAACAAATGGGATTCATGGCTTTATAACTGGGGAGCCAGGGATAATTTGCCAGGCTGCAGTACCAAGCTGTGGGTCCTCACCAGGGTAGAGGCCCTGCCAAGGTCTTCAGATTTGGGCTGAGTGCACTGCATGAAGCTTTTCCTACTGCCTTTTCTTGCTTTCCCCCTATCACAGCCATCAGAGCTTCACTGGAGTGGAAGGCCCTTGCTTGCTGCACTCTTACTCTTCAACCTTCATAATCATTGCCCCCAGGAAGTATCTTGGCACTTGTTTTTTGGAGGGACACATCCCAACAAGACCCTTATGACATAGATCCACAAATGAAATGGCTGAATAACAGAAAGCCTAGGAATTTATAACCAGGAAGAAGAGAGGAGAGGAGAGGAGAGGAGAGGAGAGGAGAGGAGAGGAGAGGAGAGGAGAGGAGAGGAGAGGAGAGGAGAGGAGAGAAGATTTGACCTGAAGCCGTCATATATCAGAATTTATTTTCTTAGAATTGCAGGATCATGAAGCAAAAACACATCATGATTTCTTTTCTTCATGTTTTCACTTTCTCTTTCTTCTGATACTCTCCACTCCTTACAGGTACATACTATACATTTTATTACTTGTTATTCTGCTGTGTTGACAGGTATTCAATTTTTTTCTTCCATCCTTCTTCCATTCCTTTCATTATTTTTTTCAAAGCCAATGCCTTCATCAGTAAGTGTAATTTCTAAATTTGTAGTTTGCACATATCGCAACCATTATTTGGTGAAGTTCAAGCCAGGGACCTTCAGCTTCAGCACACGAAACACAACATGCTGAGGCACAAGTCATGCAGTGCCTTTGGGATTACCGGAGCTGGGGCACGGTAAGCTCCCCGAGGGCACCCGCTGGAGCTGCTGGAACCCCATCTCTGGGAAGAGCCCAGCACCCGTTGTGATCTCCGTGGCTGCTCCTCCTGTTGATGCACCTGCCTGCTGAGGTTGCACTGGGTCCCTACGAAGCCTGATTTACAGACACATCTTCCTGTAACATCACATTGTGGCGATGTAGAGCCAAGAGGATTGCAGTCACATCGTGCACAGAATTGCTTCTCTGGATCCCACCACATGTTGGGCTTCAAAAGCCAACAGAAAAGTAAAGTGAAAACAAAGCTGACAAAGAGCACACAGCATAGTGGAGAGTTAGATACTGACGATACTTTGAAGCCTCCAAAGAAAGGCAAGTTTGACATCTGAGAAGCACTGGTTTTTGCTTAAAGAGCTTTATTACCAATAAAATGAATTTTAATGCACATCCATCCACTATCACGGAAGAACCTAAAGACGCTTTCTCTACTGAAGGCAGGGCAATCAATACATCCTGGGACTGTCAGCAACTGAGTAATTGAATATTGTATTTTAACAAAATGATATAACCAAATGTACTTTGATTGGTTTCTTGTCTGAAAATAGAGTATCCACTGAAAATAACTTTTACACGGCAAAACCAGAAAAAAGATGTTTGCCAAAAGTAAAGGAATTGACATACTTTATTGTCAAAATTTTGGAAAGCGAAGGAATCATGGGTTGAAATTGTATGCTAGTTCCCTAAAAAACAACTCAATTACAGCAAATATTATATAAATTTGCCATCACAAAATGAGGTTTACAATTCATTGTCAACAAACAGGGAATTTTGTGCTATTCTGAGAAAACATTTCACTAATCATTTACGTCTCTTGTAGAGACACATAATCCTGAATTCTTCTTTTAATACACTGGTGCGGTAAGGCACGGCATTGAAATCCTCGGAAAGCTTCCAAAGGAAACAGAAGAAATGCCCTGGTCGGCTTCTGCTCCTTACCTTACATTCATCACACCGCTGTCCCTGCACATTGGGTCTGCAGTCACACTGTCCAGTGCGAGGGTTGCAAATGTCTGAGAAGGAACCATTGGCATTGCAGTGACAGGCTGCAAAGAGAAGAAAAGTCTGTAACTCAGACGAGATCGGGCACGTTCAGGGTGGTATGGCCGTAGACGAAAAATCTGTAACTCAAAATTCTTTCTAAATATCTTAATGGGTTGTTGATGGTATCCCTGATGGTCACACTGACACCTAAAAATTCCTTAATGCAGTATTTTATGGTTTGCCAAGTTTTGTGTTACGAATTCTAATCTTTTCTCCCTTTAATTCTACAAGTATGGACACCACAGTGTCTTTAGCACCATAAAAGCCACTTGATATTCTATTGTAATACTTATGTTGACATTTTTTCAATGTTGAAAAATCCCCTGGTTTAAGGTATAATATTTCACTACTCCACAGCTACATTTGGGTAACACTAAAAATATTATCATTATCATAAACAATATTATACATATTATCATAAACAATGTATACTGACTCCTAGGTCAAAAATTATTTGAGAACATTTCTAAATTGCTAATTGCATAAGTTTAGCAAAATTATTAATTGAAAAACATTTAGTTATTGTTAAAATGTAATACTTATTACTAGGTAACAAATTTGAGATTAGGATCAAATACTGAGTTATAGCAAAAACAAGGCATCTTCAAAAATGTTGTGGAAATTAGTGTATTAAAAATGCACGGCTTAAAAATTTTTTATAAATATGAACTTACTGATTTCATTTTCCAAGAACATTTTAAAGTGACCCTGCACAGGTAGCATCAAAATTAAAAAAACAACATAAGCAGGCCAGCATGTTGGAGGAGAAAACTAATCTTACTCCTCCCTATGGCATCAGCATCCCATATGGATGCCAGTCCATGCCCCAGCTGCTCCACTTCTAATCCAACCCTGTGCTTACAGCCTGGGAAAGCAGCAGAGAGTGGCTCAAGTCATTTTGAACCTGCAGCTACCTAGGGGGACCCATATGAAGTTCTTTGCTCAAAGCTTCATGTCAGCTCAGCTGTGACAGCTGCAACCATTTGAGGAATGAATCAGCACACAGATGATACCTCTCTCTCTCTCTCCCTGTAGCTGGTGTGCCTGTACATACACACCCTTGCCTTTCTCTGTGTAACTCTGACTGTGAAGTAAAAATAAATCTAGCCTTAAAAAAGAACATAAGCTAAAGATATTATTTCAATTCCATTAGAGATTTATTATAACTTTTAGAAACTTTTGTCTTAGAATTTTGATACAAAAAGATAATTAACATTGATTCAAGTAATCTTTTACAATAATCTTTTTCATTTTTGTGTTACAAAGTTGTCTGGTATTATTTTGAAATATATAATAAATCAGTCTAAAACTTAAGTGGTCTTTTCGCAAAGAGAACAGTAATTAGTGGTTTATTCTGTACTGTCCAAACGTATTTTTAATGTGACAAATAATTGCATTGATTCCTGAATAAAAATGTGAGGGGAAGATGACATGGTAATTTAGACTCATCATAGATGGGTTTTAATATATTTTATACAATGTTTCTGAATACTTTGGCTTGAGCACACTTACAGAAACACATTGTCAATAGTTACTGCATCAGCACATGCTATTCTGATCAGCTGGATCTGGATTCTACTTCCTTCCACTGCTTTCCTAAACTCTGCGTTATTCTTCTAGCAGCATTTGGCCTCAGTGTCCATCGGTCTGATACAAGCAAGGTGGCCACTGAGTCACCGGCAGTCATCAGTCAGGCATTTTCCTCAGGTAAAAAAGGCCTAGTACAGTCTATAGCTGAAGTGCAAGAAAAGCCAAAGAACATATTTTCTTTGAATACTGATTTACATTTGAATGCACAAAATGTTTTTACACTACTATTTTCTTATTAGGGTTCTCAGCTCAAATTTTGGAAATCTATGGTTAAGTACATAAATCTTTAAGAAAAGGTAATATAAAGTTTTGTCAAAAATGACGTTTTAACAGAAACACAAAAATATACATTTAAAATGAAAATTATATTTCTTTGCAGGGGTGTGCTTTATATGTGCAAATCTAGAGGCTACTATTCTTTTTTCATTCATTTTCTCTTAAGTTTACCACATGTGCACAGAAAAGCTAATACATCATGTAAACTTACACACAGAAATAGGCATCGCTTTTATAGTTCTGAAGACAATTATACAGTAAACTGCTTTAAAATTGTAACCATGTCCACATTTCCTGAAAAGCAGTATCAAAATGGGCTATTATGTGAAATGTATTCATTTCTATGTGTTTATAAGAGTTCATAGCCCAGACCCAAAATTTATCATCATAAAATAAACCAAAGAACACTGTCAGTTTCATGGGTGACAGAATCACAGGTCATTAGATGATTAACATGGCCTACTATGGAAGGGGTTAGTTCATGAGTATCTGCAGGCTCCTAGAGCTGCCTGGGCACTTGCAGTGTGCTAGAACCTTTCATCCCCAGAGAAAATTCACAAATGTTTCTGTAGACGAGTCTCAACAAGAGCAGATTTCTTGCCCAGGAGCACACAGGAAAAAGCACAGTTTATAAGTGATCTGTCTGAAGGGAAGACTTTCTTTTCTTAAACGCTGTACAATTCGATTTATACATCCTAAATTCACTCTCCTATGTAAAGGGCCTCTTGGAAATTCACTTTTATCGACATTATTGATTTACAGCTACTATTAACATAAGCCAATTATTTGAGATGGTGTTTTGCTTCTGATACGACGCATCATCATCCTCACTTTTTTCACATTATTTTTCTATGGTGCATGCTGTCACTTATCTAAATACCTAAGCAGAGGACATATTTGTTGCTAAAGCAGTGAACTCTGTCAGGTCTTCAGTACTTACAGGAGACAGGATGATGCATTTTACCTTCAGGGGTTTGTACACTTTTGGAAGGCCTGGGACCTACCTGAATGACTAGTAGAGTTTCTCTTCTTAGTACACAACTTCAGCTGAAACAAACTATTGGGCTAGTTTCACAATATGCCTTGCCCACACATTGTGAGAGCTGATGACACTGACCCTGACAGCATAAAGTGCATGGGTACCACCGAGGACTCACATTTCTTGTGACTTTCTTGTAATAATATAAAACATCATAAAATTCTGTAAATTGGAGTTAGAGAATTGGAGAGGAGGGAATGCCCTTATGAATATGCATGAAATCCTAGAATAGATAATTTTGTGTAAGAAAAAAACCAGAAATTGTCCTAAAAGGAAGCTTAAACACTCAATTATAAAACCCAGCATGTGAAAATATTTTACACCTATGATGAAATACAAGAATATGAAAAGCAAAATTGATCAACACCAATTGACAGGTACTAATGAAATAATATGAGCACATATATGTATTTTAGGAAAAATACTGGACTTGAGATCAACAAAAAATGATGAATTAATTTCCAAGTTCCTGATTCATTTCCAAGTTCTTTCTGCCATAAAGATAAATGAATTTATTTTAAAATCTTCATCCTACATGCTAACAGAAATATTCATATTACTTGAAAAATCATGCTACTTTCACAATTCAGCAATTTTCAAAGAACTTATTCTACAAGCTAGGGCAAAGAAATATTTTACCACATGCAGACTCTGTGTCTATGCTGTGCATCCATCATCCTTATATTACAGACAATTTCCTACTCTTCCATCCCCACTCAAGAACTCATCAGCGACTTTGACGCACAATACATCAACTCTGTCAGGAGCATCAATAGTTCAGGACTTACGCTGACAGTTCTTTGCATCAACAGCGTCTCCAAAATATCCATCAGCACAGAGCTCACAGTGCTGGCCTGTTGTACCTGGCTTACATATCAGACAGGAGCCAGACAGGCTGTCACAGCTGCCAGGGATGGAGAAGTCAAGGTTGTCATTGCATTGGCACGGTTGACACGATCCTCCAGGTGTAGCAGGTTGTCCAAAATAGCCTTCTGCACACCTAAAGAAACAAATTGTATCAGGAAGTATTTAGGAGAATTCATGAAACCCACAGAGGCAATGTTTACATAATTTTCATGCTGTGCTTCTTGCAGGATGATGGGTTTTTCCTTTTAAGCATTCCTTGTCCCCGATGCAAGGTGATTCAAAAAAAGTTTCTCTGTGACTGCATGTAGATTTGAAATGAAATCCTGCCAGTACCACTAGTAATTAGATTTCAACCAGAAAAATAAAAAAGTCTTGTTGTTGGCACCAAAAATGAGAGCAAAGCACAAGAAGAAATGTGCTGCTGGCAGTTGCGAGGAACACAGGTCCTGGCTGGAAGGCCTTTGTAGAACGACCCATCATGTGTTTCTATGCCAAGTGTTGTTGTTGTTGTTATTGTTTTTCTGTGCAAATATCTAAGACTCATATTTGTTGTTGCAGCAAGAGCTTGTTATACAGAAACAGGCTCTCAAGTAAATTCAGCAGTGTGAGTTCAGAATTAAATAGAAATTGTGACTCAGAAAACTCTTACCATTCAGCAGGGGATATGGGTATCTGAATTAATGATAGGTTTGTGTATATTTGCATAAGGGTCAAGAGGCAGATTTTCTTTGAAGTCTGGGAGGTATGCCTCCTGTTATGCGAACAGCTCGTAATGTGATGCTGAATTGTGCTCACCACTCATCTTAACAAAATCCAAAACTTGATATAAAATGCCTAGAATGTGTTGCACACATTATTGAAAAATTTTCGTTTATTTGTAAGCTATGACACCAATAATTTTTAAAAATTAATTGCTTCAAATTTTTCTGGATTCCAGTGTAACATTTTGAAATGTTATTTAATGTTCCCAAATTACAGATACATCCTTATAGGTAGTGACAATTTATAGCCTGCTAGCTTACAGTTATATCTGCTCATGCTTCCTATTAAGCTACATTTGCCAGATGAGAAATGAGACAGGGCAGCTAAAATGTGATGATCAGGCCAACTCTGTTAGCTATTCCATCTCATCAAAACAAAGTCTTTCAGCATGGATAATAATCCCACAGGGAACAAAAAACCAGTGTGGCTGAATAGAATTGCCTACATCATATGATACTTTGTGACTCAGCCACTCATAGATAGGGAAGTCACTGAATAAAAAAAAAGACTTTCTAGTATTTAAAATAGAAATGACCTCAATCTAGCATATTAATAACACAATTATGAGGTAAGCCATTAATTTGAAACTGGTTGTGCTTTTTTCCAAAAAATATGGAGGTGCTGTAATTTTGCATAATTTAAATTATAATTTTAAAACAGGCTACTTTTTATTATATTCACAATAAAATAGTTTATAAAATTATGAATGCTGCATAGACATACTTAGAAGGATGTTGCACCCACAAGCAAAATTGCTAAAACATGAGATACTATTTTAGGACATACTATTCAGTGTTATTGAATAAAAATAATAATATTCTTTTGAATTTTAACCTCATTCTCCTTGCCTTATTTGTTATTCTGGGTTTATGATGATATTCTCATGTATTCACGTCTCATTTTGTTTACCACTAACAAAGTGACTTTGCTCCACTGGAACAAGAATATAAAATTGTCATTATCACAGCCAACAAACACCTATTATTTTCAGCTCAGTTGTCTCAAAATGACTTTCTGCCCTCAGGAGACATGGCAATACATAACCACATCTTGTGATGTTTCTTAACATAGACACCAATTAATAAGTCAGAAATCATTTCACAATAATAAAAAGTTCCATTTAAAGATAAATCTATGCATTCAACCAAAGAAGCATCTGATTTTATTTATAGTGCAGGACATGAAAGGAAAATCTGTGTATATATTACAAAAAATGTCATATAGCATTTTGTTCTAAGTGGGACCATCTCCTTGTAGAATTCTCAGATTTCCTCACTGTGTGTAGTTTTAGAGTTATAAAAACAGTACCATTAAGGATTGAAAAACAATGCTAAGGTCACAGAACATAATAATGCTAATCATTTTACATCCAGGAGAGCAACTAACATCAGTACTGGCCTCACTATTTTTTATATTCATTTTAAAATCGCTAAATATTAGTATGACTGTTTCAGCCACATTTGCCATTCAAAATGCAGCCTCTCAGTTTTTCTATTTTTAAATGTGTAGATGACAAAAACTGCATCTTAATACATGCTGTTAATAAATACCTTCTACCTTACCTTTTTCCTTTAAACATTTCGAAGCAATGATACCTCAAAGGCATCCTTGGCTCCTAGCCTGTGTTCCCCAAGCTATAGCTAATGTTCTGTATGTGGCAGACTATGAATACATACTTCAATGGAGCATCTTGTTTTGTCAACCTCCTGTTTACTATTTTTCTCCAGGTTTTCAATTCAAGAGCCAAGATGTTGCTTTACTACAAGCCAGTGTGAGGAGATGTGGCATAGAGACAAAACAGAAACATAGCAATCTTTTGGAATGTGGTCTCTGAAGTTCTTCACATCTAATATGTCATCCACCTTCCATACAGGACATGGAAGGGAGGGGCAGACCTTGGGGGTCTCAGTGAGAACTGAAAGACATCAGACATCGAATGGCTGTTTGGTTCTCTAGAGGAAGATGAAAGAAACAAGAATTGCTACATCTGGTAGTGAAGTAACTCGAGAGACAAAGAAAAGGCACAGGTCAGTAGATTGGTGCTTAGATGAGTTACTCAAGACTACTTGAGCCTATCATTTGTCCCCTTCCCCAATTCATGAGTTTATATCACACAGACACACAGACACAGACACACACACACACACACACACACACACACACACCCAAGGTAAGACCACTAGAACCAGAACTGATGTTTGGGGGTAAAAGGAGAAAAAGCATTTTATTGGATGAGATCCTGTTTACTAAACATTCACCATTGAAACACAGAGAATGAGGTCTCAAAGTAGAAATCAGACTGAAGTGAAAAACATAAGTTAGCATTTTTTTCTATCTGAGTCTAGTTTTACATATGTTCTCACGACACAATAAAAGCAGAGGATTTACAGCCACTTAAGCCTAGAAGTGCTGAACTAAACAAATTGATTTCTTCACTGCACACTACAAGAAACAACTAACTTTGGACATGTTAAAGGAAACTTGCCAAACTAGAATTCTTTACTCCAGGAGTACCTCCTTGGGAAACAATTTTCTATGCTGATTTATGTAGATGATGCTCATGTGCTGATCACACAAATCACTTAAAGAATGATTCTGATTACAAGCTTTTCCAGTTAACCAGTGTCTTCTCTACACCCTGACCTTGTCTCCCCTCCCCACTGCTTCAATATGCACATTTTAAAAAGTATTTCTGCTAATATTACAGATTCATCCATCTTTTGGTTCATATAAATACAATGAAATGAAAAAATCCTAGATATTCCTAGAAAATGTTCATCCAAAATTTGGCTAGAAAAAATGTAATATTCATATAACGGCATAATAAATATAGTCTACATAATAATGAAATGTTATTTTTGATTGAACAACTTGAGCTGAGATAAAATATGCCATTTGATACACAGAATACTTATGTGGCTATATCATTCTGAATAAGACCAATGCAGATTTTACACTGGAAATCATGGTTCCTGCCAGGTCTTTCCCATCCGTGTTGGTGACATTTATTATTTAACTAGATTTCTCTTTATAGTATGTTTGACTAGTCTCACCTGCATTAAACAAAGATGTGACCTGATTGTGGGTAAGGCTATGAACACCTGTTCCTAGCTCAGGGATGACACCAAACAGATATCTGTCAAATAAAGTGTAGACTTCCAAAGTGTAGATGGCTCAGAAACTACTATCAACACAGAGAGAATGCATAATGTGTAAGACAAAGCAATATAAACACATCAGAGATTTGCTCACCTAGATGAGTGAACGTAATGGCCTGGTATAACAAAACAATTGTCATTTTCCAGTTACTAAAAAAAAATGTTGCCTGTAGTAAGCTGGGGGGTCGGTGTGCAGCATTTGGTGGAAATCTATCTTGGCAATGATATATCTTCCTATTATAATGAGTAATATATATATGCCTTCCTTTCTTTAAAAACAAACCACAATTAAACATTTCCAGAGTCCCAATGTCAAATACTCATAAATCCTACTTATTTCAGCAAGTTTCCTTCATAACTAACTTACAGATGATGCCTATTCACAAATAATACTTGTTGCTGCTAGAAACTTGATCTGCAGGCTGCTGGTTGCTAGCTAAATTCTCTCTGGGTGACTGGCTCCTTTTATTTATTTATTTTTTTTTATGCATACTGGTTGAAAGAGGATTTGGCTGCCAAAAAAGTTAGGAGTGCAGAAGCAGAAATAGCTCTTTTCCAAGTTAGTCTGGCAGTAAGGAGTGAAAATAGGTCATGTCCATGGCCTTCCTCATCCGGTGCTCTGGGACTGTGGCCAAGGGGACTATCTTCAGCGCTTAAGCCAATGGCAATAACGCAAAGGGAAGAAAGACTGTACCATTTGTATACTGAGTTTGAATATATTTTCCAAGGAAAAATACTTGCATGAACACATAAGATAACACCCTGTCAAAGTCACATTGACAGATATCTTGGATTAGGAAAGAACATAAATCATGATGATAAATTATATTTTGCATCTATTTTCAAATATATTTAAAGTGAATTATGGAGCACTTTCTGAACTATAAACTGAACATTTAAACTACATTTTAAGGACAAAAAGCTAATTATGAAAAATAAATGGTGCCAGTGTTGACGGTCAGATAAATCTTAAAGTGTATGACTCTCTACTTGAGCAACACTTTTGGGAAAGATTGTAGGTTAATGCTTAACCTTTAAGATTCAAACATTAATCAGGCATCCTCTGACTGAAGATTTATAGAGAAACTCATAGAGAATGACTAAACTAAACTAAGTATAGCAATGTTTGTTTGACAAGTGTTAAGGCAAACTTTACTTGAGCTCCTTGAGCGTAGCAGCTTTTCTGGGATGGGAAGATGACAAGGCCTGAGGTCTTGTAACTTCCCAGGCAGAAATTATGTTTTGCAAGTCAATGTGGTAAGTGCTTACCTCTCACAGCGTGGTCCTGTGTAGCCAACAGGGCATGCATCACAGACAAGTCCAAGACTCCGATCTAAATGGCAGGTCGGGCTGAAGCTGGGTGGTTGTTGGGGAACACCAGGGGCAAAGGAAAAGCACACAAACAAAGTCGTTAGCAGCATGTTTTCATTTCTGCCTCCCACCACCGCTGTGACAAAGGGGTGCACAGGCTGGCCATTCTCGTCTCGCAGACAGAGATTAGGGTCTAGCCAATCGAGGATGAAATGACATTGCTATTTTTGCAGATGTGAAAATAGCCCAGTGGAGAGCAGTATCCCTGTGACACGTTATTAACTGACTTTTGACTGTTCTGAGTCTATGATCATCAGTGACAAGAGGGAATGTACAATTGCTTCTGTGGAAATCCCCGAGTCTGGCAGTCTCCCACACTTTCTCTCTACATTGATCTCAATGTGAAGCTGTCTAGAGAAATCCTCTTACACATTTGGGAAGCCTCAGTTTCTAGGAGTGTATGTGAATGGGAATGGTTTTGGCAATGCTATCCCCTTCCAGTGCTCGTCACGTTGCCAGGTGCTGCATATAGATGTTTAGTATGTGCTACATAGGTGAAATCCCAAGGAAAGCTTTCAGAAGAGACAAAACTCAAATTATACCAAGACTTATAAATAAAAGAAACTACCAAAACAAACTTGTTATTTCATATTTTCTAGCAGATTACAAAATTTCCCTCTCTTTAAATATATATGATTTGGGACTGACATCACAGAGTTAAACACCAAGGCAAGAACCAGCAGAGTACACATGTGTATTAGTTTTAGCTTTCAATAACATTTTCTTCTCCAGCCAGACCTCCAAGCCTGGTGGGTAACATCTCTCATGCTTGAATGGCTTGCCCCAAGACTGACAGATTGTAATTTGACTCTCTGATGAACAACCAATCATTGTGAATTTTATGACTTCTATCGCCGTATCATTTTAAGGGAAATGCCCTCAATTAATCTTTCTTCCATTACATGTTTCCAAAATAAAGTTATTTTTCATTATCTATGACAAGACAATTCAGTGGAGGCTTGCTTGATGGCTAAATGAAATAGAGAATAAAAATTAAACATTGCAAAGTCTTGATCTCATTCTGCTTCTGCCTTCATACGACTTTGGAAGATTTTCTTAACTATCATGCACATTAGATCACAGGTATTCTTCTGGCTTAACTCATGGTACTTCTGTAAAGACTGTAATAATTCAGATTTGGGGAAATAGTACTAAACTATTAGAACTAAATGAGTGTATTTATTTTAATCTGAAGGGCAAACAGTGAGAGACAGAGGGCGAAAGAGGGGAGAGAAAAAGAGAGATTTCCTGCTCACTGGTTCACTACCCAAATCCCACAATGGCTGGAGTTGGACTAGGTCAAAGCTGAAAAGAGCTAGGAAAGCAATTTAAGTCTGCTCGTAATCCGCTGCCCACCAGAATGAAAACAAACAAAAGGCCGGAATCAGGAATAGAGCAGGGACTGAAAACCAGGTACTGCGGTATGGACGCAGGCATTCCAAGCAACATATTAACAGCTAGCCTAAATGCCTCTCTCCCAGCCACCATTTTAAATATTGTAACTCAATGGGATGTTGGCTGAGGGGAAGAACCTAGCCCAGAATATCTTGACTTTCTAAACATCACAAAGGTAAAACGTTCCACATTAAAGGGTTCTGGTGACTGCTACAAAACAGCAGGGACAAGATGGAGTCAGTCTGTGCTCTTTGAGAACCTAGTTCCTTTGAGAGCAGCCTGGGTCTTGCTATTCACTTTCTAACAAGAGCTCACTTGGTGACTCATGGCAGGGGGTGATAGTAGTGGAGAGAAGAGGAATGTATTTAAATGTGTAAAAGCAGGATTTTCTCTTATTAAGATCTAGCAATTTACTATGGTATTAAGGCACACCAGAGGAGATGGATTTTGACAAAACTGCCACAGGGTATATAAATATTCTTCACAGATCAGCATTCTATGGCTCATCTCTCCTCACCTACAGAAAAACTGACTCCAACTAAAAGCCCTGATTTCCTCCCCTCTATGGGACCACACGGATTAAAGGTATACCATAACAATCATTTTTTAAGACTCTCAATCAGTTTGGTATAATCATGTCAAAGATGGTTGGCCTGGCTTTAGGCACTTATGGGAACATATGGAAACAATATGGAAAATAGATTTCTTAGATTATATTCATACGTCAGTGAATATCAAGAAAATTAAACAAATATGTTTTACTGTATATCTGAACTCTTCGCCATCCAGAAAACTTTCACAAAAAGGTTTCACAGAACAGTTTTAAAACATGCTTTGTGACAAAATATGAGCTGGTAGAGTCAGGGAGCATTTCTTTGTTGAAGGTCATGATGTAATTTCCAGCAGCATTTACTATGAGACCTTTGACCCTCTCCTATGCATAACTGTCATTCAAATCTACTGGTCAGAATGATGTGACTGCTGGATTCTGGAATATAAACAGTTGATATGACACTTCAAATGATGCATTTAAATAAAATCTCAATATTTATGATTTGAACTTTTAAAAAATATCCTGAAAGTTTATTCTCTTAGCACTGTAACTGGAGTCATGGCCTTGACAGAGAAAGGAATAATAAAAATAAATTCAGGATGAAAGACGACTAGGCACAGCACCAAAACCAGGTCCACCCAAGTTGGATTGGCAAGTGTAGCAACTTGACATTGACTTTGCTCTAACCACAAAACACCATTCTATGCTTTAAAGAGAGAACCACAACCAGACCATCAATGGTTATAAGTGATTCCAAAGTTAGGCTGTTTAACTCTGGCTAGCTCCACACTAGCAGAGAAAAGAATCTATTTCTCAGATTATCTAATTCATGCCACAGAGTATACAAGAGAGTCCAGAATGAAAGCCATTTTCCATTAATGAATACAGGAGAAAAGCCTTCAATGGAGTAATTTTAATGTTATGAACATTGGTAAAATCCCTCTTCATGTTTAAGCACATATCATATATGTATAATATATAAACATATATAAATATATAGGTGATAATTCACACGTATATAAACATATATGTGATAATTCATTTATAAGTATGCATGTGTACATAGAAGAATTGCCCTTGAACATATGCCTACATTTATGAATGTGAATACATACATGCAGTTACAATTAACCTGATTTAATTTTTATCTATTAAAATATGTACATTAAGAAAAATTATGCAATAATGCTAGTGTGGAAAAAACACTGAAAAAAAGATAAAACACATGATGCATTTAGTGTTAAAATGTTTCTTCTAAGGTATACTTACTTGATAGATTGAAACCTGGTTTTGAGATGTTTCACAAATACAAGAGAACATTTAATAGACAAATGATTCAGAAAATTCCAAAGTGAAAACAAGTCAATTGCTAAATAGAAGCTTAATAATGCCTATCAGGCATGCCTACTCACACTCTGAGAAATTTATTCTGTGGACTCTGAAACTTAGCTCTCGTATAAAAATCCTTTAGAAGAGTGTTAACCTTATATGGTAAAATAAAATTTAAATACATTAAGTCAGTGTGTGATTCTATCTTTTATAATAGTTTAAGCCTGATGCATTTGGAATAGAAAATACTTCACTGAAATTTTGTTTGTAATATGATGTGAAACAACTATTCTTTTCATCCTCAGGGAATAAAGTTTCCACCATGAAGGTTAAGCAATCAAGGATTTGTTCTGTATTTGTATACACCATAGGAGATGAGAATTCTGACTCAAACATCATCCTGTATATACTATTAAGACACGGAATTCTGACAGCATGAGTTCTTGCACCCCATCAGAGACAGGCTGGACATAAAGATGGTTAGATACAGCAGTGTAACTAGGACAGGGCACCACACTGGCAGGTGTCGAGGAAGGAGTACTTATCCACTTCACGATGTTGGTCGGAATCATATGAAGTGTTAAAGCTTTGCCTTTTTTGGATTCAATGATCTCTGTTTGTTTTCCAGGAGAATCTTTAAGAAAGCATGCCTGTGGTGATTTCAAGAAGCTTCATGGAAAATTGAATTTAAAAGCAAATTGATTTGGTGCAATATATATGGGATCAGCAGAAAGTTTGATTACAAAAGTGTATATTATGGAAAGATTTGTAAAAAAATTTCAGGCACCAAAAGAAGTTTAAATTTTAATTCAATTTCTGTGATTCTGTCTCTATTATTTCTTTAATCTCCTGTAAGCTTATGAAACCTGAACTTACTTCCACAATTGAAATTAATTACACTTGACTCATTTTCTTTTATAGTAATTCTATGTGAAAATCACCATTGTTAAGTCACTACTAAATATGAGTATCATAACCATCAATTACTACAAGTAACATGGCATTTTAGCTCTTAAACTTGCTTCTGCCTAAGCGTATAGGGCATAGTTGCTTTTAAAATTTTCTATCATTGGGCCCGGCGCGGTGGTGCAAGTGGTTAAGGTCCTCTCCTTGCACGCCCAGGATCCCATATGGGCGCCGGTTCTAATCCCAGCAGCCCCGCTTCCCATCCAGCTCCCTGCTTGTGGCCTGGGAAAGCAGTCGAGGACGGCCCAAAGCCTTGGGACCCTGCACCCACGTGGGAGACCAGGAAGAGGCTCCTGGCTTCGGACCGGCATAGTATCGGCCTGTTGCGCTCACTTGGGGAGTGAATCATCGGACGGAAGATCTTCCTCTCTGTCTCTCCTCTCTGTATATCCGCCTTTCCAATGAAAAAATAATAAAAATAAAAATCTTTAAAATTTTCTATCATTTTCTTCATTTCTAATTTTTTTATAAAAAAGAATTACCAGACACACAAGATGTACAGATTTATAGGATACTACGTGATGCTTCATCACAAATATGCAGATTATGTGTTTATGACCTTGTTTCCATTGGGAACAAGGGTTAAAATGATCTGAGAGGATCATAGGGACAAATTATGACAGCAAATACTGAACATGGAGCCCAAATAAGGCATATGTGCCACTAAATAAAAACTTTAAAAATAAGCTTTCAAGATATATTGATTGATTTAATTTTAAGGTGATCAGTGTTATCACTCCCT